CTTTCCAGCTGTGATACTTTTTTAAGGAACATTAACACAATATGTGAAAGTGACGCACATATTTTATATCTGTATGTTTCAACATCCAATGGGTTCAGACACAAGGAACAGTAACAGTATTATTTAATAACATAATGTTGAGATTTGGGGGTTTAAAGTTCCAAATATTGACTTTTCTGCATCGAGACATTTTCCTTCAAGAGAGAATCAAGATGCATCTAAGAATCGATTTTTCCCCTCTCCTAGATGCCACCCTCTCGCTTGTTCAGTTGTGCCCACTATTTGATGCATCAGAATTGATCTACAGAAAGCTCTGGTACTAAAGCCCAGCCAAAGTTTGGGCTGCTTGCTACCAAATCATTTCCTGCAGTGATCATAGAACAGTTTGTCCATTTGAAATGATAGCAATCCAGTTTCTGTGTTACATTCTCTTGCCAAGTGAAACAAAATTGTTATTCTCGTCACACCACCAGCAGAGGGGGAACAAAAAACTATTAGGAAACATCAAGATTATGTTGGTAGCCTTTTATCTCAGACCAGTGTTTGATCTTTGAGACTTTTTTTTTTACATAGTAAGTATTGGCAAATATTTTGTAGACTAGTTTGTATGAATAAAACATGATGAGAATGAGCTTAATTACACATTAATGGTTAATGTTATCCAAGGGAAGAAAAACTGTTTTATTAGATAAGAGACTGTTTCACTCTTATGGAGATAAGATTGAAATATTCAGACTTAAAGGGACAGTTCACCCCAAAATCAAATTACATATTTTCCCTCTTACCTGTAGTGCTGTTTATCAGTCTAGATTGTTTTGTGTCAGTTACTAAGGGTTGGAGATATCGACCGTAGTGATGTCTGCCTTCTCTTGATATAATAGAACTAGATGGCACTCGGCTTGTGGTGCTCAAAGCACCAAAAAATACATTTGAAAAAATGACCCGATCACTCAAGATAATCCTCAGACCTTGTTGTGAGCAGTTTCATGTAGGAACTATTTTCTTTCTACCAGACTACACCTTCCAACTGGATCATTTCACGGAAGGGAGTGTGCATCTACTCATGGACACAAGGCTAGTGTTCATGACAGCGTGAGATGGAAACATTAATTGGCTGAGCAATAACATTAGCTAGCTCAGTGATGCTATGTGAGCTCACAGTAGCATGGATGTATTAAAAGACCTGGATACAGTGTTGAAGGCGGGACCCTGTTTACTCTTATGAAAGCTGCTCAGTGGCGCATGAAGCCAGAAAGCTCTATTTCCATGGTATGAAATTAACTGGATGATTAGTGCTGCCTCCCCATCATCGGACCCATAGAGCAAGTGCCGGAGACTTCTGGTGGCCACACCGACTACTTCCGGGTTAGTGCTCTGCTCTGCTTCAATCATGTGGCCTTTCTAGACTTTCTAAATGTTTTAGGACCAAACAGATTAAATCCTGATAGTGAAACAAGTCATTTTGTGGGGTTTTGACTTTTAAGAAAATGGTTCCAGTGATTTACAGACATCTCTTTACTAATAAGTCAATGGGAAAAAGTATTTTTGGACCTAATGGCATCATGTGACAGATTCGGGAGTTGTAATTCCTCTGTTTGACCACTATGAAAATTGTCTTTAAAGTTTGACGCACTGCCTGGAAGTCTGAGCAGTAGATGCACACTTCCTTCTGTGCAGTGATGCAGTACAGTAACTGTAAAGAACTTCTATTGATACTCTTTGGTAACTGGGGATAGCTAGCTACAGGAGAAAACAAAATGCCATCCTCTTCCTATTTGGTTGATGCACTTCCTTTATGCCGCAAATCAACCCTTTCCAGTTCAGACAGAGTTGCATAGTGAAAGCGAGGCTTATAGGGAACCTCTCTAAGCACAGTTGGTGTTTTTATTCTACAGCCATTACATTGTGCAAACTACATTTACTTCATAGTGTTAAATTAAAGCAAAATACCAGCCTGTTTCCACTTTAAATTAAACACCCATCAGGTAATAGTTAGTTATAGAGTCATATAGACATTGAACATAATCTGTGAGATTCTGTTGATTCTGGTTGTTCTGTCCAAACAGGAAATGACACGTTACTGATTACTATGTTTCACAATAAGACAAGTATTTTATGAAATGGTGCCAATGTGGACATATCTAATTAAATCAAGGCTCTTTGTCATCTTTTTAATATATATTATATTTTTCCGCCTGTCTAATCCCTTCATTCAAAACCATTTCTTTTGGGAAGTTAACAAAGCGTAGGGTGTAACCAACCAGATTTTGCCTCATGCGGTAAGATGGTTACATAAAATTGTAAAGGCCACTGTGAAGGCACATGTGTGATTTGTCAGAGGCAGCGAGCGCTGTGTAAAAGCCGAGGAGTGGTCTTTGTTTGCTAATGTAGGTCTCCACTAAGGGGGCGGCCTGGATGGCCCGCTTTCTGGGACGGTTGTGCTGCACATCACATGATGGGCTTGGCCTCGGGGTGAGGCAGTGAAGGAGTTTAAGATGGTAGTGTGGGATGGGTGGATGGAAGACGAGAGGATGAGTGATAGGAGCGTTTACTCTTGCCCGTTTCTCTTAGAATCAACTCCTGGTTACTGTTTTCACAGCTGAGCAGACCCGCTGGACATCAGACTCCACCTCGCCTCCAAATAACCTCTTCAAATATCAAAGGAAAACACAGTGCATATTTTGTTTTTAACATCACGATCAGAGCATCAGGAGTTGAGTGTTCTTTTAAATAAATGTGCTAAATATCTAAATGTGCTGCTCAAAGTATCAGAGCTGTTAGCAGTGAATTATAAATCAGACCTGCAGCCAGTGTCGCTGTAACAGGATCCCTCGTGATACGGCGCTAAAATAGGCCACAGCTCAAAAAATACAATACTGTGAAACTGTAACTAGGAGTCTTCTGTGAGTGTTGGATCTGTCTGAATGCAAGTCTTGATCTGGCTTTGTCACATTCATATTACCCCAGTTCTGCTGCCTGAGAAAACAGCCACAGAGACAAGATATCCACCTCAGCCTCTCCAACTGCTTCAGTATATCACTGTCCTCACGAAAGCCTGCATTTATTCCCCTTAAATAGTCTTAAAATGTCTAAGATACACGCAATAAAAGGCCTTAAAATGTTTTTGGTCACGTCACCGCAATAATTTCCAGGTGTTTGAGCTACAGGAAACGTCATTTTAATAGGAGGGAAACAATATTTGATGGGGGAACAGACTCCAACAACTGTATGCGTACAGTGAGTCTGCATCATTAAACTATGGTTTTGCCCGCATGCTCACTAGTGCACTTTTTCTAAATGGTAAAAACAGAGTTTTCCTTTACTGTCCATTTTGAACTGATATCAAGCAGTTTACTAAAAAGAGTATATTTTCACTTTTTTGTGTGTATTTTTCATCACAAGTTTTGTCTTAAATGTAATTAAACTGATATAAAAAAAGGTCGTAAAAAGTGTTAGATTAAACATGTTTATACATGTAGAGCAGTGGTGTAGTGGTAGTTGATGAGGTGGGTGTACTACCGGGTAGATGGGTAAGTTACTGAGGAGGACGTAGGTATACTCTGTAAATGTCAGACTTTTACTGAGCCACATGTAAAAATTCTTGTGACTGATATAATGCTGAAAGAATTAATTGATTAGACAATCATCAAAAAAAAGAGAGAGACAGGAAATTCACTGGTCCCAGCTTTTCAAACATGAACTTTAGCTGCTTTTCCCCCCCATAATAATGTTATTTAAATGCAGTAAAATACAGCCTTTTACATTTGTTTCAGGATTTTTGTACACAGCCAGTGTAACGGGGTGTCTCAGCTGGTCTTTGCATTCTTGTGTAGTTGCTGTTTTTGTGTTTTTATGGTTCAATTCTCGTATATATTAACATGCTTTTTGGCTTTCTTTGTACTGATCTCATAATATATAACATAACAACTGCATTTATACAGAACAAAGAGAGAAAAAAACTCAAAACAAGAATGCTTCTCCTTTGTTAATGAATGGTTATCTTTCCAAAATTAATTACAAGAAATGTAAAATTTGACAAGTATTTTTAAAAAGAAAAAGAAAAATTCTACAAGCTCCCAAACTGCATTGTCCACAGAAATCGAACTAGTGCATTTGATCATCTGTGAAATCGAAATCCTTAACATAATCTATGAAGGGCCTTCATATATTCTCGATTTTATGCTGTTTAGCCTTCAATATGTAAGTCTGCCTCTCTAATGGAAGACTTAATAACATCTGTCTTGTCTGTTGAGTAGAGCTTGGCATGTGAATGTTTTTCCATTAAAGTGCAATACATTTTTTGGCGTAAAGCAAGCTGAGGTCTGTAAACGCTCATTCATTTTTTGCTATAATAATGTTTCTCTTGATATAAGCCCAAAAGAAAAAGCTTAGGGTGCAGTAAGATGTGTTTTGAAATAATCTCCTTGATTATAACTCTTACTTCTTCCCAGATCGTGTCAGTCTTTCTGCACAAATACAGTGAAACAGTGTTCCTGTATTTTCCGTACATTTTGTGCATATGTCTGGTATGCTTTTGCTGTATTGATTTAATTCAACCGGTGTCACATATGTACTCTCAAAGCATTTATACATCGTTACAGATTCAATATTTTTGGACAAAAGAAGCCTGTTATAATGTTTTAAGAAGAATCTTAAAACGTACATTGGGCTCTGATTCCCAGTGATCAATTTCACACTATTTCCTGACTTTTTATAGATTATGTTTTAGTTTTAAAATAAGCATTTCACCAAAATAGGGGACTGTATAATGTGTGCTGTCTATTGACAACAAGTTGTCTCAGCAAGACCGGCCGCCACTGCTTGCAGCCGATCTTGATATTGACAGATGATATTGTATTTTTTTGCACTCGTCAGTTCTCGTCAGGATTCAAGGTTGCTCTGTTTGGTGCATTCAGAGGGAGTGTGTAACCTTGACGAGTCCTTACTGATGTATACCCAGATTTTTTTAACTCCTCCGTCTCTCTCCTTCTCTCTCATAGGACATTGTGAGTGCTACTAAAGATGTCTGATAGTGTCGATATTGAAGAGAAACCACCAGCCCCCCCCTTGAGAATGAACAGTAGTTCCCGAGACTCTTCATCGCTGAATCACGCCTCTAAACCGCTTCCAATGGCTCCTGAAGAGAAAAACAAGAAAGTCCGCCTGCGCTCCATTTTCCCCGGGGGAGACAAGAGTGAGTATCCTCCCCCACGCGTCACCTCACCCTCTGCCCCACTTTGATTCACATAATTTACTAGTTTTTACCTGTGCATACAAATACTAGAAATCTTCATGTAATCAGCTGTTGTCCGTCTCCCGCAGCAAACAAGAAGAAGGAGAAGGAACGTCCTGAGATATCCCTACCCTCAGACTTTGAACACACCATTCATGTTGGCTTTGATGCTGTAACAGGAGAATTCACAGTGAGTATCTCTTTCACCTGACAATCAGGCGAATAAGCAGGGACTGATGTGTTTCTAAAATCCTCCTCCCAGCTGAAAGCACAGTCCCAGGCAAGCATTTCTAAAATCACAATCCCCCCAGGCGGTAGCGTTAACTAATGATATATTTTCCTCCGCATAAAGTTGGTTATATGAGTGACTGGAATGACAATCACTCTGTCACCCCTATCAGGTGAAACCTGCACTGGAATACTTTAGCATTTCCTGGTAAATCACCTCTTTGCTGCAGTTTCTGTTGGCAGTAGATGTTTTATTCTTACACAAGCCTAGATATATAACACCATGACATTGAGTTTCTTTATTTATCTTCTCTGTTTAATGTTCTTAACACTGAATTTGATCCATTGTTTTGACTGTTACTCATAGGGAAGGTCTGGAAGTGATTTTTTCTTGTTTTAATAAGGTACAAAGTAGATATTATAGACCCTTTAGTGCCGACGTCACAATGACGTCAGTTTGTTAGTTGGAGGCAAAACACGACTCTCCACCACAGGGCTGTAGGCTACATAAGAGTCTTAAAATATCACCTTGTGGGTCATTAGGTGCCAGAATAGAAGTCATGGCTCAAAACTTTAATTTGAACAACCATCAGCTGCCACTGCCAGTTGACAAAAACAAGGACAACCAGGGTTAAATGTGGTAAGACGAAAGGACTGGACGGAAGCCATCATCAAAAATGCTCACATGTGCAGCACAGAGTTCATATCAGGTTAGGGAAAAAGTATTTCCTGCTGTAGGGATGAATAACATTATGTGTATTAAGGGTTATCATGTCCACCTCATCAGAAACTGGGCCGATATTGAGAGGAATATTAGATTTCTCACTCACTTAGCTTTGATAGCAAAACAAACTGGAGGAAACCGTTCAAGTGTCGTCCTCCTTTGTAAGACTGGCATAGTTATCAACCACAAAGCTTCTTGTCAAATCATCCATCCACTGAGTGAGAGCGTACAGGTCGGCCAGTCTGGTCCCATTGGTCAGTGTTTACTTATTCAAGGAACACACGCAGTCCCGGAAAGTGAGCGATCCAACATGGGGGGTTCGTAAACTCAGTCTGACCTGTTGGTCGAAGAAACAGAGCGTTATGTTTCTATATGAATTAACGAACAGTTAAGTTAATCACACATTCACGCTGCTCTCAGACAGAGTGCCAAGAAAGTGCTCTGCCACTCTGAGAGTGCGGTGCTCTGAATAACCGAATGGTACATTCTGACAGTGCTGCTGGCTAATGTCTGTGGAGAATTGTTTTGCCTCCAACTAAGCCCCGCCCACCAAAAATGACATATTGTTTACTAGCAGTAAACACTGGGCTGTGTGACACCATCTAATAATAATAATAATGATTATAATTTTATTTTTATAACAACTTTAAAATCAGAGTTTACAAAGTGCTTTGACAAGCAAAGCAAAAGCAGAAACTGGACTCAGAATAGAAGACAATCTAACAACAGGAAGCCAAACATAAGTGAGACAAAACGAGGTTAGAGTTTAGATAAAGTTAAAACAAAAGGACAGTAAAGTGCAAGATGCAGGACGCAAAACATCTATATAAATAAACACAAATAAAGAGACCAAAAACAACAAAAGCAATAAAACTACAAAATTAAAAGGAAATAAAAATAAACACGACATAAATAAGATAAATAAAAAGAAATAAAAAGACAACATTACATAAAGGCAACGCTACAGAAATGGGTTTCAGGAAGTGATTGAATGGAAGTCACTGATTCTGTAAAGCCTTATCTCCTCAGGCAGGTCGCTCCTAAGCCGAGGGGCCCTGATGGCAAAAACACGGGCTCCTTTAGATTTAAGCCTCGACTTTGGGACAGCTAGAAGGGCCCTGACTTTAATGTTCAGTGTTTGATTCAACAAAGATGTTTATTCAGCTCTTGTTTTGTACGAAGGTCTTTGAATTTTGTTCTTCCTATACACAGGAAGAGAAGTTGTCGCAGGGAAAGTTATTGTGTTCATGAGGTGATCCTCAGTTATCGTAAAGCATTGACATCATGCTATGGAGAATGAAATCACAAACAGATGTTCATGTACTGTTAATTCATTTACTGCTAAATAGTCTGGAACATAAAAGTCACGTCTCATCATATTTATTCAGGACTGAGAGGAATATAGTTTTTAAATAAAAGAATTAAAAGGCAGTCCAAGACTTCAAACCACTTTAACACTGTTATGGACACATGTTCTGGTTTATTTGACTTCCAAATGTGCAGCAGTGACATCAGTGACAAATAGTTCCTTGTTCATTTGATAAGCTCATGACACACAGAGCCCTATTAAGACCATTTTAAACCAAACCACTTTGATTTCACGTCTTTTATGTTTCTCTGTGATGATACAGTGTATTATTGTTAATTTGCTCCTTAATCCGCCCCCCAAGTATTTTCCTTTTCTGCTTCCAGAACAGTAGACTATTTTTTTCAACAGTTGCTTTAAGGGTATAAATATCCTGAAGATTACAGAGATGGAATAAATGAAACCCTTTGTTGAGCCACATTCAGCCCCTGTTAACAGGCTCAATGTCTGTTTATATAAAGAAGCAATTAAATATGTAAAACATTGGCTAAAAACTGTGGAAGAGAAACTGTATAGAGAAACTTAAATGTGAAAACAAAACAAAAAAATGTTTAAAATAGCTGTTTCCTACTGCTTTTCAAATCTTTATGCCAATTTAAAGGAGAAATTGATTATTTATATTATTCATTTACCAAAGTGTGGAACCATTCCTTTAAGATGTAGTTCTCCTAATGGTTTCCAGATAGTTGCTCCAAGAAAAATCAGACAGAAATTATAGTAAAAAATGTACAGTTATAAAAAGCTAACCTTCCTCTCCAAACACAACGTCAGTACACTCCAGAAAAAGTATTTTTTTGCTCTGCCATATTTAACCTCTTCTAATGACTGGCAATGTTAAACATGATTTATCTGTAAAGGATATTAAGGGTTAAAGAGAATTGGGTTTGCTTGATTGACTTGTTGTGATCACTTGTCCACCTCAATATCCAGCCTCCTGTGTGCCTGTGTCACAACAGAGAAGATATATTTTTCTGGCTGTGATTGAAGGACTATTACCAACCCACTCTCTTTCCTCAGGACATGGATATTCTAGGCAGGGGTGTAGCACCAAATTCTGGCCCCTATGAGTAGTCTCCATCACACACCTTTTGAATTGTTTTTTTTTTTACATAGTAAGTTTGTTTCCTTGATCTTTCCTTTCTTTTCTTTTTTGGAACCCTGAGTTCCCTTTCTTGGGGAAGGATATGACAGTGAACGTTGGTGCTCCAGCAGCACAAGTACTCAATCACTCGGCTTTAGTTACATTTAAATCCTAGTGCAAGGGTGGACTAAACCATTCTGCACCTTTAATGGATGAGAGGGGCCTCAAAGAGCTTCCACTATTTCTTTTATACAAAGTTCAGTCTTTCAACAGATTTATTCAGCCAGTTTTAATTTAATTATGGCCACTTACAAAATAGAATAAAATGAAATACGGCAGCACGGTGTTGCTGTGGTTAGCATTGTCGCCTCACAGCAAAAGGGTTCCTGGTTCGAACTCAGATTGGGTTTACTCCAGGTACTCCGGCTTCCTCCTACAGTCCAAAGACAGGTTAATCGGTGGCTCCAAATTGCCCATAGGTGTGAATATGAGTGTGAATTGTTGTCTGTCTCTACATGTCAGCCCTGTGATAGTCTGGCGATCTGTCCAGGGTGTACTCCGCCTCTTGCCCAATGTCAGCTGGGATAGGCTCCAGCCCCCTGGCGACCCCTAGCAGAATAACAGTTACAGAAAATGAATGAATGAATAAATAAAATACAAAATTGCCAACAAAACTAAACTTGTCATTACAGGCTCTTCAAAGACCCCCTTACCATTGGGGCCCCGGGTAATCAGTCACTACGACGCCCCTTATTCTAGCACTTTTTAACATTTGACCTCTGTCTGTTCGTGCAGGGTATCCCGGAGCAATGGGCACGGCTCCTACAGACCTCAAACATCACCAAGCTGGAGCAGAAAAAGAACCCGCAGGCCGTGTTGGACGTCTTAAAGTTCTACGACTCCAAAGAGACCGTCAACAACCAGAAATACATGAGCTTCACCTCGGGAGGTGAGCAGCACAAAATATTGATCAAACAAAAAATTATCCACCAATATAAATAAGTTGTATATTTATTCTCATGCCTCATACAAAAGATTATAAGAATGTTTGTTTCTGTTTCAGACAAGTCGGCACATGGGTACATAGCAGCAAACACTCTGGTGAGTTCTTCTATATCTAAACGTATTTTGGGTCATGTTGGATAAAAGCTTGAATAATGCATTTGATTATTATTAAAAAAATCAGCATAAAATGAGTATCTGACAAAATGTGTCAGTTAATAACACCTAACTACGACTTAATGCTCAATTTTAAATGAGTCACAACTTTGTTAATGAACGTTGGAGGTTGTGCCTCAGTCTGCTCTATTAGAAATTATATTGCTGCGCTGCATATCTTGACATCCCTGAACTGTCTGGTTATTACAGTAAAAACATTACAAGTACAAATCAGCCCAATCACTGGTCTGTAGCCATGTACCATATATCATTGGAATGTCTGTCAACTCAAAGATATATTACTTTACGATATATATAACAGTGTTATCATTTGACAGGTAAGTTGCAACATTATGTGGCTTTATTTCATCGCCATGAACCTCGGAGCAATTACGCCTCTCAGACCTCAGCACTGTAAATCTACCTTACTTTGCTCTGACTAACTCTGCCTGGGAATTTCTGGGATAGACTTTGTTACTCTCCAGCATGCTCGTCTTGCACAGACTAGTGCCTCTAATGGGCAAAATGTGTGCATTCCCCTCTGGAGGCTTACTGCCCTCACTATGCGGCATAATGCCCTGAATTTTGTATACACGCCAATCAGTTTGCAGCTCCTACACGGAAACGGTGACTGCTGCGAAAGCCACTGCTGCTCATTGTTTATTTTCCCAATCTACTCAACCAGATTTTGAAATACCCATAGACAAGCTTCACTGGAGGCTCAGCTGCATCTAGAGGGACTCCCGCTGTGCTGACCTCATTCCTGGCTTTGACCAGAGTAATCTATGCTTTGAATGCCTTGGCCTGTACACACTCAGCCGGGTGAAGAAGTGGAATCCAAGTCTGTTCAGTGGGATTCGCTGCCCGAGGCAAACTACAATGGGATCACTTAATGCAGGGGCTATTGCTTGAGAGAGCTCTTTGCCAGTGAAGGGCAAGCAGGTGTGGCAGTGAGTCTAAAAGGTTGTGCGAGCCCAGTGAGGGTGTTGTACAGCATCTCAGCCTTGGTCTGTCACAGTGGTCCTCGGCCAGCAGAGGTGACTCAGCTATTGGCTACAGTGCCACAGATTTCATCCTAGGTTTGGTCCGCACTGTCTCAGGCAGGAAGAGCTGCAGGAGAGGTGCCAATATTTGGTCTGTAGAAGCAAACTGTCACTTTTCAGAGAGAAACAGTAATCCAGCATGAGCCACCTGATGCTCTCTGCCAGATTAGTCTGAACACAAACGTCTACTAACCTGCAATGCAGAGAAATATACCAGAGCTGGTGTGCTGTTTTCCTTTAGCAACATGCTGTCTCCTCTTATCACCTGCTACAGTCCATGTCTGCCTTGCAGTTTTCTTGTCTCGTCTGAGCCAGTTGTTCATGTTGTCGGTCGATCAAGTGCCTCACCTTGACCTTAGCTCAGCGTATGTTTATAACTGCAGAGAATGGCACTATAGGGACACTGTGTTGCATCCTAATTCAAGCTTTGGTCAGACCAAGTTGTAGTTAAATTTTAGATTCTAGGACAGGGCTGTCGAACATCCAGCCAGAACCGGCCCACTAATGGGTCCAATCCGGCCCACTGGATGACTTTGCACAACTAATAATGATGCACTTCTTCACACTAAAGGAAAGGGAAAAATTTGGAGGTGTTATTTATAGGTTCTTCTACAATGGTTTTACCGGTCCGCCCCGCTAGAGATCAAACTGGGCTGCATGTGGCCCATGATCTAAAACGACTTTGACACCCTTGGCTAGGATCTCAATGAGGCTTTACTTCCTGTGACTGGTGTCCACTCTAAAGAAGTAAACACTCCTCTCAGTGTCGACCTCTACCAGACAATAGACTCACCTCAGAAACTCCTTTTGGCAGGACACAAACACTTTGCTTTTATAACACACAGAAATGAAGATGATACTTCAGATACATTGGCCGTGTTTCAGGATCAATTTTATTGATTCTTTGTCCCTGCTTTCAGTAATTAATAACTTGGTGTATGTGTCCTGGTGTTACATGTGAGTTCTCCCTGTTTAGCCCTCAGTTAATCTTAACTTTCATTTCACATTAGTTTTAATACCAGCCAGTAATACCTGAGTGTCAGACCACAGGACTCATCTATTAGCCAACAGACCATGATTCATATATCTGTGTTCACAGCATCAGTTTGTGAATCAGAATCTGAAATACTTTATTGATCCCTGAGGGGAAATTGTGATACACTACAGTCGCTCCGATGTAAAGAATAGATAATTATAAGAAGTAAGAATAACAGTGTGAAATAGAAGTATGTGAAGATAAAGCAATAAAATGAAATAGAAATGAAAATGTACGTAAAAATAAAATAAAATAAAATAAATTAGAAATGAAACTGTGCATTAAAATAAAATAAAATGAAAATGTGCATTAAAAAGGTAAGAAAAAAATAAAGATTAAAGATAAAAAGAATAAAGATAAAAATAAGATTAAAAATAAATATAGATAAATGAATAATTTAAATGAAATAAGTAAGTGAGTAAAGTAGTAGGTGATAATTTACCCCACATTTCATCTCTGGTGGATTGATAATAAAAACATAAAGTAAATTAAATTATAACAAGTAAAATAAGTAAAATAAATTAAAGTAAGTAAAATAATTTACCCCACATTTCATCTCTTGTGGATTGCTAAAATCAGTGTTCAAATTAAAAAACAAAATAAGATAGAAAAATAAAAAAATAAAGTAAATTAAATTAAAACAAGTAAAATAAATTAAATTAAGAAAAATAAATTACCTCACATTTCATCTATTGTTGGTTGTTAAAATCAGTGTTCAACTTCACAAAAACCTTTGCTGTTTCAAGATTTTAAGAGAAATGTTTCATGCAGTTTGGGTGCCAGTCCTGTCTGTTATGTACCTTCGTAAATAGAGGAGCAGCCGAATAATAATATGTATCTGTACAATGTCAAAGTCAGTGTTTATGTCTATATACTGTAGCGGCTCAGTGTGATTTCTAGAATCAGTCAGTCAGTAATTTTCAGGCTTTAAAGTAAAAATCTTCCAAAATGCAACAGTTCAATCACCATTCCTCACGTAATTTATTGGAAATGAGTCGATGTTGTGGAGTCAACAACGACTGCAAGGGCATGACGCAGTGTTTATTCATTACATGAACATAATTATGATGCCCATAAATGTTTAATAGCGTAATAGAAAACAGCATTTGTCTGTCCAGATCAATGAGAGCAGCCACTTCATCTTCATCAGAGCGTTACAGAGCCAGGTCTCTTATTAACAGTGAAACCATTTTTCTTGTCTGAGGAACAATTATGCTTAAGTATCCAAAGCAATTCTGCAGTAATAAAAGTGCACAACTTTTTTTTTTTTTTTAACCTTGTTGTTGAAGTGAATACCTCAACATTGGTTTCAATAACAGTGTTTCCCTGCCAGTTAACATGAGGTGACATTGAAAACTGAAAGTTAGTCGAGACAAACTAAGGTCTCCAACAAAGTGTAACACGTGTGTCTGTATGTGAGGTGCTCATGTGCATACTATGACAGAACTGGGCAATAACTGAGTTGTGTAATGGACATGTCATCCGGAATTGTCTAATCAGGTTAAAGAAAGTGATGGGTGCATGAACACAAGTGGAAGTTATCGTCCTTATAGTTAAAAAAAGCTGATTAAAATCACATTTTATACAAGAAATCTCAAAAGATGTTTAAGGCTTGGGCAAGGACAGTCCTCAGGTGGCATTATATGTCTCCATCACGTCCTCTGCTCATGCTGGTGTCAGGAGGAAAATTTACAGACTTGAAGGGTCACTTCGGTATTTTTCAGCCTGTACCCTATTTTCCTGTGTTGTTGTGTCTAAGTGACTAATGGGAACAACAATTTTTGAAATTGGTCCAGTATTGAGCAGGAGCGCTTGTTATTCTAAGTGTCTGGTAACATTATGGAAAGGATCTCTGCAGAGACAGACCTTTTCGTCGAGGGTAAGATTGTTTTGTTTAACCAAAAACAGTAATGAAATGGTTATCGTCAAACCCACCAAACTTCATTCAAATGAACAGTAATTTTATACTTTTACTATGGAGTCTGGTGTGTTTGGTGATGGTGATTTTTCTAGTGACTGTTTGTGGTTAAATATAAACGAACTTAGGGTGCTTTCACAACTGCCCAGTTTGGTTCGATTCAATTGAGCTCAAGTTCATTTCCCCCCTAAGTATGGTTTGTTTGGGCAGGTGTGAACACAGCAATCACACTCGAGTACGCACCAAAACAACCGGACCAAAACCTTCTTGAAGAGGTGGTCTCGGCCTGGTTACAAACGAACTCTGGTGCGGTTTGTTTGGGGTGGGAACGTGTTCTGACCTTGATCTGAACCTACTGCAGTCTCATGTTACAGTCCTGGAGGATTATTAATGTGCACCTCCTCCTGTACTGACTTAATATGCACATTCAGCACATCCAATGCATCAAAACATTGTTTTCTAGTTGGAGCCGCGCCTCGTTTTCAAACTTTATGGTTTGACTAAAATGAACAATGACAGCAATATAGTCCACGATGAGCAGCGCTAAAATCAACCTGCGTAGTTGTCCCTCCATTGTGACATTAGAAAGTGTCACATTTATCTTACAAGTGTACTCTTCTTCAACGCTTTGTTTACTTCCTGGATTTTCCCACATGGAAATTCTGACCAATCAAGAGCAGCTTTCTCGCACAAGGCATTTTATCTGGTCAGCTTGTAAATGCTGCCGTGAGAACACAAACCAACTCTAGGCAATTATGCAGCTTTCTAACAAAATTAGTCCCTGATTCGGACCAAAGCAAGACAACTCTAGGTCTGAACGCACCCTTACTCTGTAACTCTGTAGGGATCCTATCCATAAGTTGTCAGACACTTACAATATCGATCAGAGTTTGTTAGTTATGAGTCATTTAGACACAAAAGACATGCGCAAATAGGGTCCAGGTTTTAAAATACCCAAGTTTCCCTTTAATGTCCATCCCTCAGTAGCGTACCCCTGCCCCCCTCCCCCTCCCCTGAAGTCCACTTACTCTTAAACATTGTGTGGGTTTGTTTTGAGTAAATCCCATTTTCAACCTTCACATTCAGAACCGACTGCTGTCATCTGGGCCTCCTGTCAGCCTTAGAACCTGCAGCGCATTATTTGACAAGGTAACTCCTCCATATTATTTTCCACATGATGTATCTCTGCATTGGCTTTCAAGCTAAATTTGATCTCCTAATTTTGATTATTCCCACTGACTAATGCAAAAGAAACACACAGAAATATTTGATTTTAGACACATCATCACTCTCTGTACTGAAATGTCATGTGGGGGGTGTGATTGGATTGGATTAGTTGTTGATGTTACTGATGTATTTATTATCTTCCACAAGAGCACCTCTAATCTTTCCTCCAAAGGACCGTCTCTGAAATGGCAGGGCAGGGGCGCATGCCACAGAGGGTTGTGATGACTGTCGAGCTGCATGTATGAGCTCATACTCCTTACAATGCGATCCACATTGCCAATAATGTGCCTGTAACTTCATCACCATTGTAGACATTACCGCATGGCTCTATTAAAAGAAAGAAAAAAAGAAAAAACACATGGCACTGCTTACAATTAGCTCGGCACTCATTTCTGCACTGCAGTCTTGGCCCAGCCCTCCTTGGAGCGGGTCAGAGGCCCAGTATGTCTGAATGAAGGACTGGGACTTTCCTTCAGCCAGACCCTTTCCCTTTAATCACCAGAACTAAGCTGCACTGCTTCATTTATGCATGACGAGACTGGAAATGGATGAAATGTTTCCACTCCATAAGAGGAAGATGATCCAAGACCAGCAGAGTTTTTGGATGGGGGAAATAAAGGCTGAGCATTAGGCATAATAAATATGCCTGGGGCTTATTAATCAGACTTGTCAGAAGGTATCTACCATATCATGAGGATGTCTACAGTTCATCACCATATTGCACATTACTGCAATGTGGCGGCATGTTTTCTTTCCAGTGGCACAGCTGAATATAGAATATAACAGTTTCAGTGGCGCCCCCAGACATTTTTTAATAGGGGTGGCCAGATGGGGCCACTGAAAGGGGTGGCACACCAAAACCAAAAATAATAACTGAACTTTAGGAATTCCATCATACTGCTGTAGTATTTTAGTCACATACTGATAAACTTTGGTTTCTAATTTTACAGTTACTGTTACTAATACTAATCCTGTTTTAATGTGTTATGTATCTATACATGTTAGGCTGGTTGTCCTTTTCCCTAAGCCCAGTTCAGACCAAAGATTCGTGACGAGACGAGTTGAAACAGGCAACTACTTGCAAAGCACCATTCTGCAACGTTCTAAAAACCTGCCAGTTCACACCGATGCACCTAGATGAGATGATGTATCATCTCTGTGCAACAACTCTCTGTACTTCTGTTCTGATTGCAGTTTTTCAGCCTTTTTTTGTGGCTGAATATAATTTGTAGCCTCTTAAAATATGAATGAGGATAGTGATAGTGAGATAATGGCTATGGTTGCATTTGTAGTAGTGATGAAACGGCTCAGATGGCCAGTTCACACCACTGCAACTTTTCTCTGCAACATTCTAAAATGGTTTCATCTCGTTGCAAATCTTTGGTCTGAACTGGACTTTAAACAGACAAATATTCAGCTTTATTTTGAAGGAGTACATTGATTGTAAGGAGCAAAGCATTTACCAAGATCAAGCCCTCGCGAGTTTAGGTAACCCATATAGCCCATAAAAGCCAACATGGTGGGTACCATTGGATGACTTAAGTTGTCTAGTTTTACAAAATACCCATACCCTTGCACTAGCTTAAAAAATTAACGCAGCGCAGCCTCTTTAAGACCATAATGTTTCGATAGGGGAGCCAGCACTTGTATCAGGGGGCCATGCCACCCCTTGGGGCGCCACTGAACAGTTTCTTACTTAAAAATTCATTCTCACCATTGACTCACGGCACACCCTCAGCTTAAAAACCCTCAGATCAACTGCGCTGAATGGCACCTCACTTCTTTAACGCTTGTCTCCTCAGCTCTCACTGGACTCATAAAACTTCCCTCCACTATTAACACAACAGTCCCAGCAATTTAACCCCATTCTTTTTTTATTTCACACAATGTCAGATGTACTGTTACAGGGTATCACAACAGATCAACTGAATTTTGTGTATGTTGACCACCTGCTGATTTATGTCACCACTTTTGAATAACATGCTCTGAATCAGTTATATGAACTCACCATCACCACAGTTTGTAGGTTCGACAGAGTTTGTTTTGAAACTCAACTGGCCAGAACTAAATCTCTTTTCATGGCTGGTTGGGGGTCTGCAGGCTGTGCACTGTGGTAAACTGTGTAAATTTGCTTAATTTGGGGGAGAAATTTGGGGATCTGCACACACTCCCTCCATTCCATGCTGCTTTGTGACATATGCATCCAGACTAACATCTCCACCCCTCCAGGGCGCCAAAACATCATCGTCAGAGCCGCCAATCGCTCCACCTGTGTCAGAAGAGGAGGATGAGGAAGAGGAAGAAGAGGAGGAGGAGGAGGAGGAAGAAGAGGACGATGACGATGAACTACCCCCAGTCATCGCTCCCCGGCCCGAGCACACCAAATCTGTGAGTTGATGCATTACAGTGGGTCATATCATTCCTGCAAATGCAAAACCCCTTCTACATTTCTTTGACTCATTTCTCCTCGCAGATCTACACGCGCTCTGTCATGGACCCACCAAAGCCTCCCACCCCTGTGAAAGAAGTGGTGACTCCACCGGAGTCGCAAGTCCAGCCGGAGAACACGTCCAACACGATGTATCGCCACACTGACCGCCAGAGGAAGAAGTCCAAAATGACAGATGAGGAGATTCTGGAGAGACTCAGTATGTGCCCAAGACATTTTATCAGCCACCAAAACAGTTTATAAAAAGTTCTGATAGTTTTTTTTACTTTCTCTGTATCTCTATGAGTTATTGTAAAAGCTTTCCCCACACTGACAGGGGCTATTTTAGTGGAGAAATCCTGTTTTGTATGCCTGAAAACAGTTGAATATAAAGACATGGAGTCCAAAAAATATCATAATCATCAATGGTTATAGAATGTAAAGTTGTCTTCAGTTTAAGTCCAGACATTCCCCAAACAATACTGAAGACATGACCTCAGAGCCGAATAATTCATTGTATGCAGATTCAGACAGGCTGGAGATTTTGTTTCCAGTGGCTGTTTGCCATATATTATTTCTAGTGCACCAATCAGGTGTATTTAAAGGAATTAAAGCACGGAGCACTAATGTAATCAAGTCTGGACAAAGACATACTTTTTGCTTTGATTGTGGCCTTCATTCTATCTGTAATGTAAATTACCAGCATGCACTGTGAAGTCGAGAAGCATGCACTCAGAGTAGATGCACCATGAGGCAAAGCATGTCTGAAATAGGAGGGCAGAAAAACTGCTGCGATGTTTTCTGTGTATTTGTGTGAAAGCCGTCATGACTGTGTCACCCACGCGAGCTCAATCATTATATATCTGCTTTCTGTCTGACTCAGGGAGTATTGTGAGCGTGGGGGATCCCAAAAAGAAGTACACGCGCTTCGAGAAAATAGGACAAGGGTAAGTCCATCCGTGATCGTAAAACCAGTCGTCGCAGTTATTGAAATAGAGCAATTTGAGGAGCAGTCAGTCTCGCCAGGAGAGATGGAGCTGTGCTGACCACTTTAGTGAGACAGAGGCAGAGGGAAGGTTAGGTTGAACGACTGGGAGAAAAATAAGTAGAGATGAAATGAGGACTGTATCCTGAAATGGCCAAGGGCCAGATTAGCTCAGCCATCTCTCTCTGCTTGTCTTTCTGTGTTTTACACGTCTGCACAGATAAAAAACTGTGCGATTGTTATCTGCTGTGACATGCGCACTATTTCCATATTTGATCAGGAATCTCCTATCTTAAACAGTAGATAACTGTGTATTTACTCTGTGCCGGGTTATCTTTAACTTATTGGTACCAGGAACTGTGCATTATTATTCACAGCGTCTACACAGGTGTAGTTGGCAGCAAGAGAAAGAAGACCAGAAGCCTAAATACACAGCTGAGGGTTTTTAGTATCACGAGTTTCACCTCCAAATAAGGACAGACTGGCTGCATAGCATTCTGTTGACCAGCTATTGGAAACCATAAATTTATGTGAATCTTTGTGGTCATCACTATTAAAGGAATACTTCACCCACCCAATGACCATTTGTATATGAGTTACTCACCTCGTGTTATGCTGAATTTGTGAAGTAAACTTTGTTTTTCTTGCATGCCTCCTCAGTGAACAAAGAATCCAACAGCAGAGAAATTTCTGGATGAATTGAAGTCATAGGGGTCCACTATGAACAACAGCAAGACTATATCAAAACATCCATTTACAAACTTTCACACAGGTTGTGCAGTATAATCCAAGTCTCGTTTATCCAGTCATATGCTCAGTACTTCCCAAACAGACAGCTCTTTCAACAGGGAACTAATCTGAGAGTGAAATGTATCCACGTTCTTTTCCATGCCAGACTCCATTGACAAAAACAGTAATTTTACCTTGCTAAAAACTGGAGCTGCTGGTCTACTACTGCCTCAATCAGTGTGTTAGTTTGTGTTATTGTGTGACTTCAGTGTTTTAAAGGGTTAGTTCAGATTAACCAAAGTCACACAAAAACACAAACCAACTAACTGATAGAAACAGTGGTAACCCAGCAGCTCCTGTGTTTACCAAGGTTAAATTACTGTTTTTGTCAATGGAGTCTGGCTTTGAAGAGAGCATAGATTTCAGTTCAGATCCCCGTCAAAATGAGTTGTCTTTTTGGGAAGTACTGAGCATACGACTGGATAAATGAGACTTCGATTACACTACATGAGTTGTGTGAAAGTTTGTAAATGGATGTTTCGATATAATTTTGCTGTTGCTAAACACAGACCCCTACAACTTCAATTCATCAACAATTTTCTCTGTTTCTGGATTCGTCTTTCACAGTGGAGGCATGTGAGAAAAACTAAATTTTCAGTGTAACACGGTGAGAAATTGATGTGCAAATAATCATTTGGAGGATATAGAATTAATCAGCAGCGAAGTTTCTGCGGTAAGATAAGCACACGCAGTTTGTCAGTGAAGAACCAAATAGTACTTGTAAAGCCTCTGGCATCAAGTTTAGCCTGGTTAGCACTGTGGTTGCACTGTGTTAGTTTACTATTTAATCACATCATTACAACTTAATTTTAGCCGGTGATATTTTAATATCAAAGGAATAAAGCTGTTGCCTTGCCAACAGGCTAACGTGATACCTCAATTTAACTTTGTTCTTTTATGCCAGCCGTGGGGTTTTCTTATTAAGTGAAATCAAGTTACAACAGGCCAGAAGTCAGTGGTCTGACTGTTAAGTAGTAGATCTGATCCATGCTACTTATAATTGGCCCTCAGTAGATGAATATAGCACTGTTACTGTAGTGGCAGCACAAAAAATGATGAGCATAATTTTGTTGAAATGCGTGTTTAATGTCTACATTTTTAGAGCGACCTTATGATGTATAGACAAAATAATATTCATATGATAACACCAATTACTTTTAACAAAGTTAAGTAAATTTTTATATATTTTTCGGTGTCAATGAGTAATTTTAAAACTCTCAAATGGTGTATCACTAATGTGATTATGATCTTGTGTTTCACCAGAGCGTCTGGCACTGTGTACACTGCCATCGACATAGCAACTGGCCAAGAGGTAAGTCATATTCTTCTGTTGATTACACACCATTCACGCACTGTATATTATTTCCTCTTCCTCACTAAACCATCAGGCTTTTTCTGTAGTTCTGAGCCACAAATCCCTCGTCTGTTTTCTCAGGTGGCCATCAAGCAGATGAACCTGCAGCAGCAGCCCAAGAAGGAGTTGATCATCAATGAGATCTTGGTGATGAGGGAAAACAAAAACTCCAATATAGTCAACTACTTGGACAGGTCAGTCTTCACATGCAGGGTCACATTTCAAACAAAATCCTGAGGTCAAGGCCTATTTATGGTTATTTATTTGGTCTCTTTTGCCTTTCCCAGAATCTAAGGTGGCATCCTCACATTGCCTATTTTGTCCAACCAGTAGTCTAGAATCTAAAACTGCTGAATTTTCTGTTAAATAATAGCGAGAAAAGCAGGAAATCTGCATTCTTGAGAAGAAAACACTAAATGCTAGGCACTTTTGCTTGACAGTAACATGTCTGACATTATATTAACAGGTATGTAGCAGTTATTTTAGCTTTTACAGCATATGTAAAATAACATTTGAATGTATGTTTTTCTAAGATGGTTAAACACAAATAATCTCAGGCAGCCGTATGAATGTATCTGATGTCTACTGGCCAATTTGGGACTGATTTGTAGTCAGAACTTGGACAAGGTCAATGCTGTTACTGTAATGACATTGAAGGATCCTCTCAGCCTGCTTCTCAGATCCCTTTCCTTCTGCTTCATTTCCTTCTTCTTCTCTTTCTGCCTTTTTATGGCGGTCAGCTTTCATCATTTGGTGCATGACTGCCACCTACTGTTTTAAAACATAGAGAAGAATTTAACCACACTATCAATCAGTGTCTATCAATTTTTTTAGCATCTGTTCCCCTCAGCTCTGACTTCACTAAATTGATCTTCTGCTGTTGTTCACAGCTGGTAGTAACATGCTTGAGCACCTGCTCTGTGTTGTAATTGACTCTGCATGATGAAGCAAACAGTACATCCTAAACTGTAACGATGCTGCTTTGTGTTCTTGGAAAGTTTTCTTCTCATTTTCTGCACAAATGTCAACTGAACTGACAACCCTGATTTGAGATGCACATAACACTAAAACTAAATGTTTCTTTCCTTCCTTTTTTTTTTAGTTACTTGGTAGGAGATGAGCTGTGGGTGGTGATGGAGTATTTGGCCGGTGGCTCGTTGACAGATGTAGTGACTGAGACCTGCATGGACGAGGGCCAGATTGCTGCAGTCTGCAGAGAGGTGAGAAGCCAAGTTTAGACATCAGCAGTGCCACCCACTTCTTTTGTAGCTACGACCAGCTGACCCTACATTTACACTTCACCTAGCCAGGAGAGAAGGACTATCCTGAATATGTGTGTAGCACAGGCTTCCCCTTGCGAGTCTGTTAGAAACATTTTAAAGCTTTTTTCTTTCTCTCTTCAGTGTCTTCAAGCCCTGGATTTCCTACATTCTAACCAGGTGATCCATAGAGACATAAAAAGTGACAACATCCTCTTGGGTATGGACGGATCTGTCAAGCTCAGTAAGTCCTCAGTTTCTGTGGCTGTAGTTAAGAGAGATGGGTGTGTGCTATATGAAAGACCCCTTAATTAAATTTGAGAAAGTGCCAAGTCAAACCTTGTGTTTAATGTGATAAAGCTGGATGCAAACAAAGAGTATAACATACCATTGCACCTCTCTCCCTCTGTCTCCCTCTGCAGCCGACTTTGGCTTCTGTGCCCAGATCACTCCAGAGCAGAACAAGCGCAGCACGATGGTGGGAACGCCCTACTGGATGGCACCAGAGGTGGTGACTCGAAAGGCTTACGGCCCCAAAGTGGATATCTGGTCTCTGGGGATCATGGCGATAGAGATGGTGGAGGGAGAGCCACCCTACCTGAACGAGAATCCACTCAGGGTAAGAAGACACAAAACAACGCTCTCTCATACCTAAACAGCTGAACAGGTCGATTACCTTTCTAACGGTCACAGTTTTAAACACATTCTTAACACCTAGATACAACATTGGAGGTGGGGGCCTGTTCATTCCTATATGAGCTGCTCAGTGGCCCATGAAGCCAAAATGGTTTAACTACTGCACATGAAATTACCCAAATGATTAGCCCTGCTTCCGCACTGTGTGGCCTGTAGAGCAGGTGCATTAGAGACTTCCGCTCTTCTAGACTTTCCAAATGTTATCAGGGCATATGGATTAAATTCTGATAGTGTAACAAGTCATTTTGTGGGGGTTAGGACACTCCCTTCTGCTGATTTGAAGACTCATCTTTCGCATGTAAGTCAATGAGAAAAAGTCTTTCTGAGCCACAGGGTATCACATCACGTGACGATGTAATTTCAGTGTTTGGCCTCTACAACAATTGGCTTCAAAGCCCAGTGTACTTCCTGGGGGCCTACATGAAACGGTCACAGTTCCCCTCCAAAATTACATGGTTAGGTTTTTAAAAAATGTCATGGCTTGGCATTAAATAAATACTTTTGTCAAAAAATGTAACATGACGTGTGTCACCTGACATATGTCCTATACAACATATCACCTTTGTCACTAGTGTAACATGCTACACGTACTAGCATACTAGCCAGCTGTGTTATTAAAAGAAGTCAACATTGACAAACAGTGCTCTCCTGGATGAAAGTCCTGTGTTTGTTTGACCCATTCATCACCCTTCCTGCCCACTGTGTAGGGGTTTCTTTGGTATTTATACCACATTGCTTGGACTTTGTCGCATCTAATGCTATGTCACATCATTTCCTCCTCTGCTCCTGTAATAATAACTAGCTGCTAGAGTAAGTATTGGTCGTAATAACCTGCTTGCACAGTTGACCTACGTGGTTGTTGTTCTTTTTGTTTTGTTTTTTTTGGAAGAAAAACCCAGGACTTATGATCTTATCTCCCTGGTGGTCATACACTCAAATTTTCAGTTTTTCTTCCACTCTTGTACCCTCATTTGATGCACCCATTTGACCTCATTGATCTTTCCAGGCGCTGTACCTGATAGCTACCAATGGGACACCAGAGCTGCAGAACCCAGAGAGACTGTCGTCTGTGTTCAGAGACTTCCTCAACCGCTGTCTGGAGATGGATGTGGACCGCAGAGGCTCTGCCAAGGAGCTGCTCCAGGTAAAACTGAGACTAGATCCTCAATAGACATATGTACATGTAGAAATATGTTAAAACCATAAGGGTGGGAGTTTATTATTATGCTAGTCAATAATAAAGATACAGGTTGCTTTCATGTCCTGCAGATGTCACTAAATCATCACTACTGTTTCTGAATGTGCCTCCATATCTACATTTTTTTATCCTTTCCATTCTCTGCAGCATTCCTTCCTCAAGCTGGCGAAGCCTCTATCCAGCCTGACGCCTCTGATTGTAGCTGCGAAGGAAGCCATAAAGAACAGCAGTCGCTAGGGTGTGCCCTCTGTCCCCACCCGAGGCTGGAGCCCTGCCTGTGATGTGTGCGTTCATGAGGGCAGGGGCTTGGGTGTATGGGTGGTGGGTGACGTGACAGTGACAGCACAAGGAAGGGGGGATTTGTGTGACTTACCGTGACAGCACAAGGACAAAAGACCCCCAGGCCTCATATGTAGGACGGACATCTGGCCTCGCAGCCTCTCGGCCCATGCTGCTGAAAAGACCTTGCCTCCTCGTTTACTTCTCCAGCACTCTGTACATGTAGAGCAGTCCATCACAAGTATGTGTGAGTGTGCGTGGGTGTGTGTGCGTGCGTGTGTACCAACTGTGCACATCTCTTTGTGTCATATGTCTTGTTCGGCAGCAGTCGCTCCCCAAAGCAAGAAAATACGGTGAAAAAATCAAAAAGAAGGTGTGCTCACTTTCAAGAAGAAACATCAGGAGCGAGGAGCCTGTGATTCCTTCCCTGCCCGGCTTTAGGCTTGGTTCTCTTTCCTCTAGTCCCTCCATGGAGCACAATCAGGCCGCGCTTGCACTTGCAGTGACCAGCTGATGTGAAAGAGTGACTCTGGGAGTCTGGACGCAACCTTTGCCTGCATGACTACGGCTCTGTGGAGAAACACTGCTACTCCTCTGCAGATTGTCACATCTCAAGGTGGCATATTTATGTATATATGTGTGTGTGTGCGTGCGTGTGTGTGCGTGTATGAATGAGTGTAGGGGTGCGGCTACAGGGGAATAAGTCAGGAATAATTTCACATGACCTAAGCCAGCTTTAAACATCCTTCATCACGAGATACGGGTCCCGTATTTCATTTGAGCCAACTTCTTTCAGGCAGGCTCTGTCACAGAGTCACTGGAGTTCAGGCTAGCTGCAGTTAATTTGCGCATTTTCCCCCTAAAGCTTCCTACGTATTATCAGACCTAATGTTCTGAATATGTAAAAATATTGAGACACTGTTGGGGCTCAGTTTGCAGACTTAAAACATTGAATTTAAAATGTGTGACTCGATATAATCTATACATTCTGAATCTAATTTTTGTGATCTAGTTTGAGACACTTGATTGCATTGACATGTAGACAATGTGTCACACATTTAAATCCATTTAAATAGTACTGAAGACTCTCCGTACTCCATGTGGAGGGAGTAATCAGAATGACTAAAATATTGTCAGCTTCACAACCAATGCAAGCAATTTATCTGCAGATTCAACAGATAATTCTGCATGCAAACATGAACCGTAGCATCCATTGTGTACAAGCATCTCAAACAGGATTATCCACAGATATTCAGTATGTGTTGCTCTCTGTACCAGGCTTTGGGTAGACAATGCAACATCTATCTTAAAGGTCCAGCACGTAGGATTTAGGGCCATCTATTGGCAGAAAAAGGTATAAAATATTTATGTCATCATTGTTTATAATCACCTGAAATGAACAATTGTTGTTTTTGTTACCTTAGAATGAGCTGTTTATATCTATATACGGAGCGGGCCCTCTTCCACAGAGTCTGCCATGTTGCTCTACAGTAGCCCAGAACAGACAAACCAAACACTGGCTCTAAATAGGGCCATTTGTGCTTTTGCGTTTCGTGTCCACCACTTTAGTTCTCCTACATGCTTGGCACACAGAAGAAGGTGAAGCTCTGCAACCTTACCGCTAAATGCCACTAATTCCTACACACTGGACCTTTATCTGACAATTAGGTACGACGTAGAAAGAAAATACTACATCAGGGACTCAACAGAAATACAAATGTTTTTACTTGTAATTGTATATTTAGTGAGGGATTGTCCTTTTTAAGGTGCTGGCACACAGTGAACCAACATTTCAGCCTTTCAAATGAGCTTTTTTTTCTACAACAGTGGCAAACAGAAGGTTGTATAATCATTTACCTACAATGAGTTGAAGGTCTAGTGCCACACATTCTCACAGTTTCCCATAGTGCCCCACACATCCCTGTGACCTTAAATCTAAAGAAGAAAAGATGATTGACAAAATTTATGAATTATTTAATCAGTTTTTGTGGTCAAGAGACTGAACTTTTCAACATGAATAGAGATGTAAAATTTGGCTAAAAGGAAAATGAGTCTTTTAGAAATCATCATTAAGACTTTCAGAACACATTATAAGACTGTGACTTGATGTTTGGAGTTAATGCCAACAGAAACCTGGCCTACCTGCTCAGGTGAGGCATCCATGTCTAACAAGGCACCAGCTGTCCTCCTCGTCCACCTGCTCCCTCCCTCCCTGTCTTCTCCTTTATAAGCTGCTGCTCATTCATGCTTCAGTGTCCTTTTGTCTTTTAATGGCGTCTTATGTGTCTTCTTTCATATGATCTGTACGTTTTTGTGCTGAGTTTTTTGGAACGCGTGGCAGATCAGAGAGGGGGAATGTGATCCACTGAGCGATGGAGTGGAGTGGGTGCCGTTTTTATGATTGTACCTTGTCCTAATGAGCACTGAAAACCGTAGTAGAGGTTTCTCTCATATTGTTTGCTAACATTCCTTCCATTCCTGGTTAGCGTTTAAACTCATTCCTATACAGAAGTTATCTACTCTGTGTCAGTGTTTGGTAGCTTCGTCATTTCCCACGTAGCATCCCTCTGTGTGTGAGCGTGTGTGTTCGTGCGTGTTAGGGGGCTACCTCAATCTGCACTAGAAGATGCCTCACTCGTGTTGTCCACCTTGACTCTGAGGTGCAGGGTAGCTGCTTCATATTGTACCTCCATTGTACAGCAACTGTACAGACGATGAAGGAGTGATGTTAGACAGGAGGATGCAACAGAACTCATGCATGTAAAACAAAACTATACACTGTATCTCATCTTCAAATAGGTTAAGATTGTTAGGATATGTATGTATGTATGTAAATATGATGAGAAAACCCCCCTTTTTTCAGAATTATGTAACTTAAAATGACAATATTCAGGTTGCTCTATGGTATGTATCAATAAATGTTTTGCACCCTGGAAATCAAAAAAAAAGATGACAAAAACGAACACACACGCTGTCTCTGCACTCCTGGATCCGGCTCTCCTGTTTGGGCTTTATCGGACACTCCTTCATCCGGACAGAGAGCCGATGAATGCAGCGCTCTGTGTGCGGGCCCACACAGTCTGTCCTGAGTACCACTGCTGAGTGTTAGTACATGTATGTGTGCGTGCGGTAGGTGTGGGTGGCCTGACAGGAAGCTTCGCCGGCCCTGGGACGTTTGGCCTCTGCCCCCATGTACAGGTCTGAACTATGAGCACAAAAGGTGAATTTCGGGACAAGAGACGCCGCCGACGTGCCCCTTTCTTGTGGTTGCTCCTGTACATTCCTATCTTCTGAATGTGTAAACCTGTACACGTGGTGTGAAAATTCCTCTATTAATGTGTATCGAGAATGGAACAAAGACAAAAAATGTTACTTTTTAAATTATTATTATCATTATTATTATTATTATTATTATTATTATTATTATTACTCTTATTGTCTAGCTTTGTAAAACTGCTGATCCATCTGGCATACCTCAGCAGGCCTTTCCCCATCTTTGAAAAAGGACAAACGAGTGACGGGGAAATGAGGTTTTGGATAAACTATTTTTAATTGTGGTTGAAGCAATAGACTTTTTGAACTTTGAATTGTGCATGGCTGTGTCTTGAGTGTAAAAAAAAAACAAACAAAATATTGCAGTTTGGGAACTGGACTGAAATAAAGAGAGGAAGAAAACCAGAGCCGTTGCAGCGCTTGCAGTATATTGTGAAGTTGAATTCCTTTTAATTCTTTATGCCATTCAGAGTTTTTGCATTTTCTTAACAATCATGAGAATAAAATATGATATGAACTGATGAAAGAAGATATTGAAAGAAACAGATGATACATTAATGATGTGTAGTACATGTGGCAAGTTGTTCTGACTATGTTAAGACTTGAATGACAAATTACTGCCATATAACTCACAGTATCTGTTAGTGTAACGTAAAAACAGGAATGATATCTTTGCAAGCAACTTGCATTAGTCAGTATAAAAATATTTTATAAGTTACACAAACATGATTTGAAGTAATAAAGGTAAAACACTTGGACATGACAAGAATTGACATTCAATCCGCCCTGCTCGCCTCTCAGCTTTGCAAACAATTCACCACCGTGCAAGTCACACATCAAATCACACACCAGCACAGACATCCAGCAGCAGAACACACGCTGGTTTTGGTGATTTGATGATGGCACATGTCGAGTAAGATGTTCACCACATCGTTCTGCACTGAAAAATAATTCAGTCTCTCTCCCGGCCACTGTCGAGGTCATATGGCGGTGAGCTGAGTAGAAGTGATGATCCTCAGAGTGATGGTTCCGGGCATCTCGTCGGCCATCTGCCGTCCTCGCTTCCTCAGCTGAAGCCTCTGAGGGTTAGCGGTGTCCTTCACCGACCCAGACAGCATCACTTGGCCCATAAACTCATCCTTCACTGCGTTGCTGTTCCACACCTGAGGAAGACCAGTCAATTAATCAATTAAAGGAAGAGTTTTACAGTCACATATATCAAAGTGACCACTAGTTATATGTGAGCTTTTCCAGTTCATGGATTCAGTCTGTTGGTTTTATCATTATTATTAGTTATTGTGAGCACTGTATATACACACACACACACATATATATATATACATATACAGTACAGGCCAAAAGTTTGGACACACCTTCTCATTCAATGCGTTTTCTTTATTTTCATGACTATTTACATTGTAGATTCTCACTGAAGGCATCAAAACTATGAATGAACACATGTGGAGTTATGTACTTAACAAAAAAAGGTGAAATAACTGAAAACATGTTTTATATTCTAGTTTCTTCAAAATAGCCACCCTTTGCTCTGATTACTGCTTTGCACACTCTTGGCATTCTCTCCATGAGCTTCAAGAGGTAGTCACCTGAAATGGTTTTCCAACAGTCTTGAAGGAGTTCCCAGAGGTGTTTAGCACTTGTTGGCCCCTTTGCCTTCACTCTGCGGTCCAGCTCACCCCAAACCATCTCGATTGGGTTCAGGTCCGGTGACTGTGGAGGCCAGGTCATCTGCCGCAGCACTCCATCACTCTCCTTCTTGGTCAAATAGCCCTTACACAGCCTGGAGGTGTGTTTGGGGTCATTGTCCTGTTGAAAAATAAATGATCGTCCAACTAAACGCAAACCGGATGGGATGGCATGTCGCTGCAGGATGCTGTGGTAGCCATGCTGGTTCAGTGTGCCTTCAATTTTGAATAAATCCCCAACAGTGTCACCAGCAAAACACCCCCACACCATCACACCTCCTCCTCCATGCTTCACAGTGGGAACCAGGCATGTGGAATCCATCCGTTCACCTTTTCTGCGTCTCACAAAGACACGGCGGTTGGAACCAAAGATCTCAAATTTGGACTCATCAGACCAAAGCACAGATTTCCACTGGTCTAATGTCCATTCCTTGTGTTTCTTGGCCCAAACAAATCTCTTCTGCTTGTTGCCTCTCCTTAGCAGTGGTTTCCTAGCAGCTATTTGACCATGAAGGCCTGATTGGCGCAGTCTCCTCTTAACAGTTGTTCTAGAGATGGGTCTGCTGCTAGAACTCTGTGTGGCATTCATCTGGTCTCTGATCTGAGCTGCTGTTAACTTGCGATTTCTGAGGCTGGTGACTCGGATGAACTTATCCTCAGAAGCAGAGGTGACTCTTGGTCTTCCTTTCCTGGGTCGGTCCTCATGTGTGCCAGTTTCGTTGTAGCGCTTGATGGTTTTTGCGACTCCACTTGGGGACACATTTAAAGTTTTTGCAATTTTCCGGACTGACTGACCTTCATTTCTTAAAGTAATGATGGCCACTCGTTTTTCTTTAGTTAGCTGATTGGTTCTTGCCATAATATGAATTTTAACAGTTGTCCAATAGGGCTGTCGGCTGTGTATTAACCTGACTTCTGCACAACACAACTGATGGTCCCAACCCCATTGATAAAGCAAGAAATTCCACTAATTAACCCTGATAAGGCACACCTGTGAAGTGGAAACCATTTCAGGTGACTACCTCTTGAAGCTCATGGAGAGAATGCCAAGAGTGTGCAAAGCAGTAATCAGAGCAAAGGGTGGCTATTTTGAAGAAACTAGAATATAAAACATGTTTTCAGTTATTTCACCTTTTTTTGTTAAGTACATAACTCCACATGTGTTCATTCATAGTTTTGATGCCTTCAGTGAGAATCTACAATGTAAATAGTCATGAAAATAAAGAAAACGCATTGAATGAGAAGGTGTGTCCAAACTTTTGGCCTGTACTGTATATAGGTAACACTTAAGTTGGAGAGTCCACCTACAGATAGTTTACAGCAGTGGTTCCCAACTGGTCCAGCCACGGGGTCCAGATTTCTCCTTAGTCATTAGTTCAAGGTCCACACAGTTTAATACATTCAGTGTCATACTTGCGTTTGGCCATGTCGTCGAGCTAGTTTGCTGTCTCTGTCATGTAGCTGTCAATTAGTCACTAACTCTACAACAGAAAATGGCACTTCAAAATAAAAGCTCTGTGCCGGAAATTCACTGTACTTAAAGTTAAGTGTGTTTTTTTACAAAGTTGACATGTTCACGAGTCCCTTGTGGTCCATTCAGAATGGACCTGCGACCCACTTCTGGAACACAACCCACCAGCTGGGAACCACTGACCTAAGGCATCCATTGGTCCCTACCATGTTGGCATAGTTTGTTGTTAAGGGAGCTAAATATTGCATCAAAGTAAGGCTAAATTTTGGCGAGAGAACAACTCAAGAGGTTCAAGGGGTCCCTTGAACTCTCTTCAAGATATCTGAATAAAAATGGGCTCTATGAGTACCTGTGGCCCACTATTGGACCGCGACCCTATCTAAAATGCATCAAACAAACAGTATTATTATATACTCCCTTTTGTTTTATGAAAGAATTGCCGCAACATTAACTCTACTAATGTTCAGACAATAATCCTGAAGCACTAGTTTTATTAAAAGAGTGGTTTGTTTGGTTTGCTACAGAAGCGTAATCCATTCACTAGAGAAAATAAATGTGCTCTGTTTTTCTAAATTAAGGAGACTATTATCTTGTTAATTCGGTAAAACAGAGTAGATATTCTTTCCATGGAAACTTTTCATAATTCTGAGATAATAATCTCATTAATTCAGAAAAACAAAGCAGATTTTTTTCTAAAGTGAATGCATTATGCTTCTGTACTTTGCAGTGTGAAAATGACCAACCAAACCTGCATAAAGCATCTTATATATATATATATATATATATATAAAGATGATAAGACACTAAAAACCTGCTTTTAAAGGGTATATTAGGGGCAGCTAAACAACTTACTTGTTTGGAATATATCTCAGAATTTTATGATTCTTTATTTTTTTAGATTGTGACACCCCTCCCACTGTCTTGGAGGATGTTCCAGCCAGCCTCATCAGGCAGTTGGCTGACATGGGAGGGTCGTTAGCATGATTAGGCTCACCTGGGCTTCCAGGCTATAAAAGCTGCCTCCTATGTTCACATGGGCTCTCCCTTCCTTTGGCTGACATCCACTGAGTTGGTTTTGGTTTGCACCTTCAACACCTCCACAATACACCTGACACACACCCATGCATGGCTTTCATGACTGACTTTGCTGACCTACACACTCCATTGATTATTTAAGTTAATTTTAGTTTAATAAATTTGGCTTGTTTTAAGTATATCTTTTGTGTGGACTCCCTTCTTGTCACATTCACTGAGCCAGTTTGTGACAAGATAAATTGAAGGATTTCCCAGTAGACTACTAAAAAAATCTCCCCTGTATGCTCTCAAAACCATTTCAAAATGAAAAAGGTATGCACTGGTCTTTGAGCTTAAAATGAGACTGTTTTTCACAATCATAAGGACCAGATGGACGCCATCTTACCTCCACAGTTATCGGCTTCCTGGGCTTCTTCCTGTAGAAAACTCCACTGGTTGTGAACTCTGGTTGCAGGGTGTCCGTCTTGATGGTGGATCGTACTGACCGGCCCTCACAGGATATGAACACATAGGGGTCTGCACCTGCATGAAGACATGTAAAAAAGATCTGTCTCAGAAAACAATATTGGTGGATTACAGGCTGATCACACTGATTAGTAGACTTAAAAATCTGCCTTGGGTAAAGACCTCTAACCTCCTGAACTGTCTTGATTCTGCAGCCCCTCGGCTGCGTGGACGTAGACGTGACTCACAGCTTGAGGGTAGCCAAGGAATGAACTCCAGCATCTTACCCTGGGCTTATCCTCTGTCAACTCCCTGTAAGAGCAGAGGAGAATTTAGGGTTCAGGAGAAGAGTAGAGCTCCTTTAACTTGGTACTGTGACCTAGATCTTGCAAGCATCAAAGTGGAAGACATGGGAAGTGACATAATGCTCAGGATTCCCAGACACAACACTGGCCAGCTTGACTTGTATGTGAGAATGTCAGAAACAAAACTGGCCAAACAAAGTCTTTGGCCAAGAAAAGCAGAGAGATGTTACTTTATACTTTATACATGATTTAATGTGAGCATAATTTTAGAGTCTCCGTTCTCCAAAAGCAGTCATCTGAGTGCTTTCCTTGGATGCAATCCATCCATCAGTGTCTGAAATGAAAGGTCAAAGTACGGCTGTGTTCTCTCTTTCCCTGCAGTGTCTCTTAAGGCTTGATAAATGTAAGATATGTTTCATTTCTGTCTGACAACAAAGTAACTCCAAGCCAAGCTCACGCAAAACTACACACTGTCACTGGTTCAACATCACACCACCACCACCACCACCACCACAGTCTTACCTGCAGCCTGAATCCACGTCAGTGTAAACTCGGAGCATGTAATCCCCCAGCGTGTAAGGCTTGAAGGTGGTGGGGATGATGACGTAGCGGCCCTGTGAGAGGGTGCATCTCATGAACACTGCCCGGGCGTTGATGTAAGTGGACGTCTCCACGCACTGTTGGGTCAGGATGTCGTGCATCCGATACTTCCTGTTCAGTTCCACCTGGGAAAAGGGAAACAATTTGGGCTTCATTTAAGGTTCACTTGAAAATCACTGAACAAACTGCTGACTTTCTCATGAGATATAAAGTTTGGTAAGTGATTTTAGCAGAGTCTTGCTTGCATTGCAATTGCATGTGCACTGATATCCTGGTTATGATCATGTCCTGATAATTTGTTTGCACAAATCTGATCCTGGTTTTGAGAAATCTGGATAGTGTGGACAGTGTGGCATGTAAACACCTTATTCAGGTTTCTGAACATTATTTTTTGATGGGAAATCATGACACATCTGCACACATGATAAGAAGTAATACAGTGTAATACAGATGTACATTTAAATATAAGGGTTTAAACAGTATCTGGAAGAGCAATAATTTACTGGTTGTGTGTTATGCAGATTCGTCTGCCCCCTGCTGGCAGAATAGTGAATAACATTTTTAAAGTGTATATGTTATTACAGTGATATGGGAAGTACTGAGTGACTTGTCATTTCAGCAAAGAAAAAAACACCAGCTGTAGATTAACATATCATAATGCAGAGATGCCCTCAGATATCCACTGATACATATTCATAACTGGCTATGTGCTAAAACTACTAGAAACAAACAGGAAATACTCAAACAGGAAAATACAAAGTGTAGTGGACAACAACATAAGAAACACAGGATGTAGACACACTGTCTGGAGTCCGTCAGATAAAGGAGGGAGATACAGTCACTTTTATGATGACCATAGCTGACATGGGTTAAATCCAGGTTCAGGCCATAGCAGGCTGTGTGCCGCCTCAGTAATCACATGCTCCTTGTGGCACCAGCATTTATTGCTGTCCAGAACCTGCGCCCTTTGGCAGCACTTCTGTCGCCATGATAAGAGTGTATGATGTGTGTGTTTGAACTTAGCCAGATCTCTGACAAGTAAATCACATTACGGGAAATGTGATGTCAGTTTTGCCGCGGACGGTTACATGGCCTCATTTGAATGTGGCAATCTAATCCCAGCCAGGAGGATAAAATCTAGTTTGGCGAGTTTTGCAGCTGCATGAGAGGACTGCATTGACTCTGCAGTTTAAAGACCTCTACTGAAACACATTATGACTAAGCTGTACTGATTTGTCTGTTTAAATGTTGCAGATCTGCATAAAATTATCCCTATTTTGTAACTCTACCACTCAGCCCATTAAATGGATAACTGTTAACACTGCCATTATAATGCCTCAGGCAGGGTAAACCGCACTAAAAAATAGGCCAGGAAGTGCATATCCAACATTGTGAAATGGTTGCAGTTTTGTTATAGTTTCACTTTTCTTAAGTTAAGGGCCAAAACAACAAAATATGGCATGCTGGATACTCCTCTTGTGTCAGCTCAGGGATGGTGTCTCAACTTAATACATAGTGTGTGTTCAAAATAAACAGGAAATGTAGAGAGTCGGCTCAGTAAATAAACCTAGCACAAAGGTAAAACACTTCATTTTTTGGTTTACTTCCTTAGGTTTAGGGAGCAAAAGCACGTGGATGGGTTTGGAGAAAACATCAAGGTTTGGCTTAAAATGTTGGGTATCGACAGTCTCCTCCCTCTTCTGGGTGAAAGTCCTGTGTTTGACCCAATCATCCACGCCGACCTCCTCCATATATGGACTTTGTCACACTCTGTACTTTGTCACCTGACTTCCTCCTATGCCCCTGTCATAATTACAACAACCACTAGGAGTTGCTGCCTAACAATAAACGTGACTACAGGAGGAAGTTGTCATTGGGAAGAGACTCCTAATGACAACTGATAACGGCCATTTAACGGGCTGATAACTTTCAAACCTGAGGTGGTTTCACATACATACGGTATATTTTATCACAGAAACAATGTAAATGCATGACTTTTTTGATCTCCACCAGTCACTAAATGTGCCCATACTGCATAAGTTTTCTACGATGGCTGCAGAAGCTCTGTGGTGGAACACAGGCGACTGAACTCTATGCACCTTACTGGAACTGTAGAAGAAATTGTCACAAACTGTGTTTTTGTTCCACTCTGTTTTTCAGCTTGAAACAATCAACCCCAAGTATGTGTATTTGTTGTGCTTCATTATGTGTGATTTAGCCGCTTGTTGAAATGGTCTGTTTTGGTTCTGATAAAACTATCAAGTCATGTCTGCCTGTCAGCAAAAAACGCCAAACAACTGTTCACTGTTTGCTCAACAAATGAGTAGAAAAGTCAAACAAAGCCAAATTCTTCAACTGCAATGAAAGCCAAATTGTAATATAATGACCCTGTTTTCCACCCAAATAGACTGACCTTTGACTAACGTCTGCATCCCACGCGAACATCATATCCTCTGTGTTGAACTCAACTCTGGTCACAAATCCATCAAATCTTTTACTGGTATTAACCCCTGGTTTATCATGCAACTCACAGTCATAGATAAGTTATCAACTCTTGCCACGTTACCTTGAAGACACCGAAGCCAATGCTCAGATTTTCTCCTTGACCATATTTTCTGTGGCTCTTCAAGTCTTTCTGTTGCAAGGAGATGAGGACCTCATCGGCCTCTTTTGTAACGTCAAACACGTACTGTAAAGGAAGTTAAATAGGAGTGAATATAAATGTACACATGTGCACGAACACAGGTGATGTGAGGAGTACATTCAGAGTCTACAGTACCTGTGGGTTCTGCAGGAATGTCGGCTTGTGGTTGGCACAGCCGCCGCAGCGGTTTAAAAGCGGCTCTGCGTTTTTGGTCCAGCTCCCAAAGTGCACCACCTCATGCCATGTCTTGTGGACACTGATCACCGAAGTATTGATGAGACGGCAAGCATCTGCATCCGTGAAGTACTTGCACCAGTCTTCGAAGGACATCCTATGGGTTTGAAAAGACAATGCAGCCTTATTGTACACCCTGAAAGAGGACGTTAACTCCACAGGTGGATTGCTGTGATTGAAGAAACTCACCAGAACTCGCCATCGTCCTCTACTACGAGACCAAGGTTGCCCCTCTCCATATCACCAATTTTTTGCCATTCCTCAGAGCTGGCAAACAGCAGGCAAAGGAAATAAATGCACTTATGAGTAGCTATTAGATACAAATACATAGTTTTCAAGTTATAATCCAGACAAAGTCCATCCTTTAAATCATAAAATGTGACTGTTAAAAGTTTGCTTTTTGCTTTTCGTACGTTGGTTTCCTGCTCCTCCTCTGGTCAGAACTACAACAGTGGTGGAGAAATTAAACCTAACCAGTTCTCACCTGTCACTCCAAGCTCCTTTCCACTCAGTCTTGCCCCAGGGGTTCCTCATGCGGATCATAGGAATGGTTTCATTTTTAAAGTAGGCCAGCAGCCCGTGACCCAAACGCACCTTCTGCACTGCAGTCACTGAGTATGCATGACCTTTCACCAGCCCGTTTGCCATCTTGAGTTCAATCTCATGAGGCTGTGCCTGATGAAATTATAAAAACAACTGGTCAGTTTCTCTGAAGTTTAGAGACAAAGAAGAATATATTCAGGAAGAGCACAGACCTTGATGGAGCAGCTTATGATTCCTCCACGGTCCCAAACCTTCAGGAGATCTTCAAACAGCTTGTCTTGTTTTTCCTGGTCCTTATAATAAGCTTCTTTCTCCAGGTCAATGGCTTCAGCCACAGCGCCACTGAAATCCACCACAGCGTCTCCGGTGTTTCCCCCCTCCAGGGACTCGTAGCAGCCAGCAAGCCTGGACACGGAGGGTGCAGGGGAATCACAAGTTCAGTTAGCCGTTAGATGTGTTACAAAAATATTACATTTACAAAGAAACACAAGAATGGACTTGACATACTTGTATTTTGTTATACATAATGCAAATATATTGATTTTTCTGCAACAATACACACACTATTACGTGGTACCACAATTATTTTTAAAATCTTAAACACTTTATACAATGAAAGCAGCAATAGTTGAGTGATTATATCATGCACTGCACATATTTTGTTATTATTATTAGTTTAGTAGTAGTGATTGTGTCACAGCTCAAGTTTCTCAGATATGTTTTTTTATTTCATTCGTTCATGTTGTTTCCTGATTTACTTTGAAACTCACATCCCTCTCGTTTCAGATCTCTCTACTTCCTGCCCCTGTGTGTTTTCCCTCCCCTTTGATGACTTCACCTGTGTCTGATTGTCGGCCCCGCCCTGATTAGCATCACTTGTGTCTCGTCATCCTTCCCCTCACCAGAGCATAGAGGGTGCGTCCCAAGTCTCTTAAAATTACTGCTAACCACCTAACCTAGCCACCTAACCTGACTGTTTAGTCCCTCCCACTTAGGAAAACATTTAAGGAGTCAGGAGTTAGGAGTGAGGAGTGAGGATTGCTGATAAGAGACATGAGACGGCCTTACTCTGAAGCGTCACTTGTAGCGACGTCCTGTCCTGATGACGGCGGCACAGCTGGATCTGCTGCATAACGGAGCCAGCGTTTGGCGTACATCCCAAGTCCCATTATATTCGCTGATCAAAGCCGTAACCCCCCCCCATTGTTATTGAGTCATTTGCCGAAGTTTGTGGCAATTAAAGAACGGTCTGTAGCCCTGCCACTGTCACTGTGATGAGCATCATTATTATTATCATCATTATTATCACTATTATTAAATCCACTCGCCATCATTCAACAAGTCAGCTGCTGAGTGAATAAGACATCAGACCTGTCAGTCTGCCTCAGTCAATTCAATTTTATTTATGAAGCCCAATATCACAAGTCACAATTTGCCTCACAGGGCTTTACAGCATACGACATCCCTCTGTCCTTTGGACCCTCACAGCTGATCAGGAAAAACTCCGCAAAAAAAAACCCTTTAACGGGGGAAAAAACAGTAGAAACCTCAGGAAGAGCAACTGAGGAGGATCCCTCTTCCAGGACGGACAGACGTGCAATAGATGTCGTACAGAACAGATCAACATAATAAATTAATAGTAATCCGTATGACACAATGAGACAGAAAGAGAGAGACAGAGAGAGACAGAGAGAGACAGAGATGCAGGACAGACGGTAATGACAGTAGCTTACAACAACATTAATGAAAGTAATAATAATAATAATTAATATTAATATTGATAATTACCTACAGCCTATTAAACATTACTCCACTCACATGACATGCAGGACAATTAATGATGGGCAAATGTGTTTGTGTATGTGTGTGAGTGGTGTTATATCACTCGAGCAACTGCACATTTAACAGCTACGCATCACAGACAGTCCGCTGAACACCGCAACGGGTTGTGAATGAAATAAACTTAATTACAACATGACAGTCTTGCACAAAATATCATTAACGTTACTCTTTGTAGTCACGTAGGCATGTGAATTACAGCGTTTCATTGCAAAGAACGCATGTGACGGGTACACTTGCGCTGTTTCTCCGCCATCTCGTTCAAATGAGACAGACATAGGGGGCGGGTATTTATACGTCAGGGCCTCAAGCTGAAAAAGACTTCCTGTTAGGAACCTCTCGTGTTACCTTACTCATCGCACCTAACAGATCCCTCCTAACGCCTAACGCTTACTCCTTACTGGCAGGAATAATTAAAGATGGCGGACCTTGAACGACTTCCGGTTCAAGTAAGGCGTTAGGAGTTAGCAGTATAAATAAGAGACTTGGGACGCACCCTTAGTTTGTGTTTTCTCTCAGTGCCTGTTTGTCTTAGCTCATTGTGTGTCTAGTGTTCCAGCCTTTTGTTTCCCGGTGTCCTCTTCTTGGTTTTTTGGATTTAGCCTGTTGATTGATTCTGACTCTGCCCCCTCCCTATTGGATTTGTTTACCTCCAGTGATAGACCCTCTTTGTACTGAACCAACGTTTTGACCAGTAAAGACTGTCTTTTTTTTTTTTTTTTTACCTGAGCTGTTAGGACTTGTGGTTGTAGGACTTATATTTGTAGCAGTTTTAGTTGTAGTTTGTTGTATTTTACCACTGCTAATGTTTTTATAATATGAACTAGACAAGAGTACAATTATTAATTGGATTCAAAAAAATACAAATACGTCTATGTTTCTGCAAAAGGGACAATGTGGTTTAAAGGGAGACTTCACCCCCCTCCCCCAAATGATAATGTGCATGTTAGCTCCACAACTTGTGTTATGTTGAATTCGGGAAGAAAATGTTTTACGGTGAACAAAGAATCCAAAAATAGGCGACATTCCTGGTGAATTAGAAGGGGGCCGACTTTAACAGCAGAATCATATCAAAATATCTGTTTACAAACTCTTCAAAAGCTGTGCAGTGTAATTCACATCTCATTTATTCACTTGTATGCTCCGTATTTCTTGTCAGTGTGTGAGACTGTTTCTGCAGAAGTGTTTTAGTGAAAATGCACGTGTTGGGAGCACTGAGCATATGACTGGATAAATGATAATAAATTGGATTTAAAGCATGGCTTGTGTGACGGATGTAATGGATGTTTTGATGTAATTTTGCTTATCTTAAACACGCCCCCCTTGTATTCTAAGTCATCAAGAATTCTCTATGTTTTTGAGTTCACCATGGAGACATGACAGGAAAAGTTTGCTTCCTGTTATCAACTCAACACAGTGTGAGTAACTGATATACAAATGGTCATTTGGGGGATGACATAATCCTTTAAGTGTACTAACTTGGCGTAGGCCTTTTCCAGCAGAGCACTCCAGAATTCGTTGTTGTCTTTCGAGTGACAGTAGATGAGTTCACCGTTGATCGTGGGAAGCCGGTCGTCCACCACCACGTCCAACCACTCTCCAAACACCCAGAACTGAAAGTGGAAGATTCCTGCATAGCACTCCGGGTGTTTGGGATCCCACTCCTGCTCTTTATGGTCAGGAATGACCTGGAAACAGACAAACAAACACAATGCAGCAAACATAAGTGGAACTAATGAGTCATTTTCAGTGGAGTTTTGCAGCTCAGTGAAATGGTCCCTAATGTGCATGTACAGTAAATGGCAGATTTTAACGAAAGCAGAAACATTTAAGTATATCTGTGCATATTATAACAGGATATTACTCTTACTCTTCTTTTATATATATTAAAACATGTCAATAAAATTTTCAGCTGATGGTATTTATGACTTTAATAACTTAATAACTATTGATGGTTTCCTTGTTAAAAGCTAATAATACTCTAAAATATTCTATAATTATTTATTATAGGTTCTATCATAAAATGTCATTTACTCTGTACACTGTTGGAGCTGGGTAACGAATTTCATTCCTTCATGTTTTTTATATGCTTGATTGACAATAAACTGAACAGAAGCTGAACTGAACAAATATTTGCCACCTGATTTTTTTTTTAATAAGGCACTTTGTTGTAAATCTTTAACCAGGAAGAACTCAGTCATAGATAAGATCAAATATGTGACACCGGGTAGTGAGGCTGTATTCTACTGAGGCTGTATCAGTTACATTTTGCATGGTCAGTTCTCTGAACAGGAGCGGAAAAAACCCATAAGGTTTTCCAACAAAACTTTCTGCACAAAGCTAAACACAAAGACTGTGGATGACATTTGATCCTCCTCTGATCAGCTTACAGCTCCTCTTCCATTAGTGTTAGATTGTTTTTTCTTGTTTGATATACAGTGTTTGAGATTGTATTTTGTTGGAGGTTGAAAGTTGAAATGGTCTATAACTTTATTTTGAATCTTAAACATCCTCAACAAGTTTCATAGTGTTATCTAAGTTTATTAGTTTACTGATCTCAGCACTCCTGCCTGTAAATAAATCTAAAAGTGAAAGACAAAAGTATCAGAGCTGTAGGTCATATTGCTGAAGGAATGTGGTTTTGCTGTTATGTACACCTGAACCCCTCCCTCAGGTGAATTCCTGCTGTCCTGATTTGATCTATGCAGCCAGCCTGTTTCAACCTTCACCCTTAACTTAACTCCAGTGCTGCTGTACCTGCAGTTTGATCAGAGCTACTCTACATAAGCTTTATTCATAACTGGTAAGCAACATTTAATACCCCAGCTTCTTGGCTCACCCAGTCAGAATAAACAAACAAAATGAACTCACCTTCTTCCAGAGGTGCGGCTTCAAAGCCAGGCAGGAGCAGGCAGCAACAAACCAGCAGTTCCCCACTACGCCCTGGTTCAGGTCATGGGCGCTGATGCCCTCCACAAACAGATGAGGCTCATTGCTGATCTCCTACACCAGAAAAATTAATGTGATGGACTCAGCACACTTTTTCTTTTCTCACTTCCTTTGACATTAATCTTCAAACTAATTTAAAGTGTGGTGATGGTGCGGTGCTCTTTTTACTTTGCCTTCTGCTTCACACTAAGTGGTTCAAACCCAGTTATTTCAATATAATTACATTAAAATGCCACCCGGTAAAATGTCACCATGTTCATTTGCATTCCCTGATGCATGTTAGCGACAGACCACCGCCACCTGTACCACTCACCCCAGGTCGTTTCCACTCCACATAACCAGGAGGAGCTTTCCTAAAGTACAGTGATGAACTGGTGGCTGGGAACTCTGGATCCTCATAGAGTGTCTTGTCGTTGATGCAGTTCTTCTTCAGCTCCGAGTAGTGCTGGTTTTTGAATGGTGTGGCAGAGGAAAACATGGTCCAGACGCTGAGGCCTCACAGCTGCAGAGTGATGACAGACACCAGATGTTTTCCAACTTTATATACTGTTTAGTAATACCTCCATGTGGGGAGGATTTCCCTCTAACTTCTGACTCATTTTTGGGTACAGCCTGCTGAAGTGCACCCTATAAAACTACGCTACTTTATTCCCAGGGCAACAGCAGAGTTCTCTGTGACCAGAGTCTCTCTGGACATCCAAAATCCCTCTGGCCATTCACTGATAAGCATACAGTGTCTGTTTGATATAGAATGCTATTTATAGTATTTTAAAAACTGAGCAATCCATCTTCACTAAAATTAGACTGTGAATACAATATATCAGGAGTCCACAGATGCAACACTACATTTCTGACAACATCAAGCTAACATCTATTGCTGTGATTGTCTGATGGACAGAAGGATTTCCCACATGTTTTATAAATGTAACTTTTTTTATCCTTCATGACTGACAGGAAATTACACATCTGTTACACATCGACAAACGGCACAAAGGCTGCCACGTATGTGTGATTGTCACTTGACTGGATTTTGGATTTTGACCTTAAGTGTCAAGTATTATAAAGGGTTGGATTTTCCCTTCAAAATAATTACTGTATTTATGAGAGAGGAAGTGGTGTGCAATACAGCTGGATTCTCTGGAGACTGAGGATATTTTAACTCTTGATCTTTTTGTCCCCTCACGCTGACCGCTCAGGGCTGCGTTTGGACAATATGTGCCAATATAATCGTTTCGGATAAATCTTGATACTTTAGGTTTGCCAAGCATAACACATCACAGCTCACAGAAATTGAATTTACTGGAAGCAGCAAGCTCTAAATTGAGGGAAAGTTTCTTCTTCACACGGAGCCCAAAAAAATATGTATTTCTTCATAAGTCAAATCATTTAGCAGCATAGATGAATTACTGAATGGGCCTACTGGGCACGGGGCCAGGGGACCAAAGTGTCAGGGGGCCTCCTGCCCTTCAATCGCTAAATGTCACTCAAATTAACACGTTCCAACCAGGAAGAGACTGACTTGTCATGTCTCTCTATTTTTGGTATCTTCCCTAACTGATGGAATAAATGTATCAATTTAGTAGTTAGCATTAGGGTAGTTTAGCTTTTAGGCTCTTAGTTATGAGGTTTGTGAGTTGTAAATCTTACTGTCTATCACATGCACTTTCGTTTTCTTTAATCTTCTGTGTGCTGCTGTCTTGGCCAGGTCTCCCTTGTAAAAGAGATTGTTGATCTCAGCGTGATTTACCTGGTTAAATATGGGTTCAATAAAATAAAATTTAAAAAATCTAAACGTGCTGTTTGCTTCATGCCTGGGACCTTATTCTCAAGCTTTAGCTCATCAGGGTGTCCCATTTCACATCTGCATACTTGTATTTTAAACTTTTTTTTGTGAATAACATAAAACTGAACTGAAAAGACAGAGAATAACTGCAAAAAGACACAAAATCAACTCAATCTGATACTAAATTAGCTCAAAGAGACATAAAATTACCTCAATCTGACACTAAATTACCTCAAAGAGACATAAAATTACCTCAAAGTGACACAAAATTACCTCAAAGAGACACATAATTACCTTAATCTGACACTAAATTACCTCAAAGACACCCAAACAACTAAAAAAAGCACACAAAACAACCACAAGGAGACACAAAATGACCATGGAGAGACACAAAACCACAGAAAGATGTGTAATAGCTACACAGAGACACAAACACACTAAACTACCTCAATCTGACACTAAATTACCTCAAAGAGACCCAAACAACTACAAAATGACACAAAACAACCAGGAGACACAAAATGACCATGGAGAGACACAAAACCCCAAAAAGATGTGTAATGGCTACAAAGACATGCAAACTCTTTGTAGCCAACAAAATATGCATATCTTGCTCTTGTGTAGGGGAGGTGGTGGGTCCTTTTGCATATCTGTGCCCAGGGGGCCGTTGTCTCGTAATCCACCCATGTTTAGTTGTACAAAATCATCAAGGTAAAATATGATCAAGGTAAAATGTATGTAACTTTGCAGATAGAGCAAATAAAGCAGATCTGGCAGGCAGAGAGAAATGATATGTCTGGAATTGGAATTTAAGATTAGGTGGTAATGTCTTGGATGTAAGTTTGAATACTAGAGATACCCTGAAGAGGAGAAAAGAAATGTAGAGAAGAAGAAACAATAAATGCCCACTGTACCTCTCAGACAGCAGTAGGACACTTGTTTCTTCCTGCTCCACAATAAGGAAGCTTCCAGGAGTCTACCTGCCTTTACCTCCCTCCCACGCATGAATGGCCTATGCATATGCGTTGTCAGAGCCACACCCAGACATGTTTGTTATATTCCATATTGGATTTTATTACCTCCCGGTGTTAATGTTTAACGTGACATTAGGAAGAAGGAGTGAAATACCTCAGATATCATGGCTACCACATCTTTTGATAGAGAAAATAAATCATGGTGTGGCTTTGGGTGAGGGGGTAAACAAAGGTTGTAAGTCTGTGTGTTATCTGTTGGAGAGTTCCTGGATAATGTGGTCAGGCAGGTTATTTTTGGTTGGTTATTTGCTCTTCTTTAGTGGACCAATATTGTAACACGGGTCTGTAGAACGTTTGCTCTTTATGTATATAGCGTACGTTTACAGTTTTGGTCTTATAGTATGTGTTTACTCTCTGTAATATGTGTAAAGGTGACAGAAGTTCACATTCCAGACACTTCCGTCATAAGTGCTAGTACACAGGGTGATGTTAGGGACATTGTGTAGAGTGTTTTGGTCTTTTTTCCAGAAGTGTCACGGCAAGAAACCAAACACATCAGATCAGACAAGACAACAGATATTGTTGAGCTGCACTCATGTTTGTATGTGGAGGATTTTCTACTGATTAGTACCAGAGAAAACCTATGACTAAAGCATTAAACGGCCACAGAGACATTTAAAAGACCACATACAGACTCATTAGCACAAGTCAGTACATGTCATTTAGTAGGGGAAAACATGCATAAGGGTTTGAGGCAAGAAAGCATAAAAAAGTGACTATGATGAATCAAATAAAAAACAAAAAGGAGATAAAGTTAATACAATGAAACCACAGTGAAGCAAAATACACAAGAAGGTTAAATCCAGGAACTAAAAGTTCGTAGTATGAAAAAGTTAAAAGCAGCACTCACCTGTGGTGGGCTGTTTTATCCTTACAGTGATGAGCTCAAACACATCAACGTCTTCTTTTTCTACTGTGAGATGTTAAAATCAATCCCACATATCTGTTAAAAGATCTGCCACATGAAACAACACCTCTCTCAGAACCAAATCCGGCTTCTCGAGTCTGAACTTCAGGCTACGAGGGCTTCCACGAGCTTGTTCATTTGCACACAAACACAGCCTGAAAACTGGTCTGACGAGCACCTCTCTGTAGCAGGAGGTGTTATTATGCAAAGACTGATATGGTGATTGCAAGATGGGAGGGAAGGGGAGACTGAAACTGAACACCTTCACTCCCACCTCCCAACAACTCATAGGTGAAACATGCTAAAACTTGCCCTGTTCAGTGGCTTTTGTTTTACAACTGCAACAAAAACCCATTATAAAATACTTTCCAGCCTGCCAGAGGTTAGTCAAACTGAACCAGCATAACTAATAAGCCATGTGCTATCCTCTTGTTGCCAGTAAACTGTGCTAATAAGACCAACTGGCAGGCTCTCAGTGGTCCAGGCTTAGCTTTTAAGGAGTACAAGAGGCACTTTGACTCCTTTAGACAGACGGATCTTGTCTGGATAATTCCAGTTTTCAAAGTTAGTGCTGGAGAAGAATGTTAGTAAGAAGCCAACAGTAATAAGGTAAATCCATGCAGGAGCTAAGTAGACAGGAAGAAGAACTGATGAAAGTCCTCAAATTAAAGTAAATCATTTGGGTCAGCAGTGATGTGAGAGAGGACCAATGCACAGTTCAGATATGATCACAAGTTCACGAGAAAAGACAAGTTTGAGAGAGAGGTAGAAAAATATGTCGTCACACAGTGTATGACATGAAACTATTTAAAAAGACGACAACACTGTAAAGAGTGCAGGCCATCTGTAAAGCCTGATAGTCTAGTGTCACTTTCAAAGTCAACATTGCACTGGGTAAATATATACTGTAGTTATAAAAGGACAGGTTAAGTGTGGTCTGATGGTGGTTCAAGGAGAAGGGTCACGGGGTCACCAAAGTCAGAGGGTCTCCTCCCTGTGGGAATGTATATGCTCACAGAAAATGTCATACCAGTTAGACATTAGCTTAAAAGAGACGTTGGTGACAAACAAATAAAAAAGCAAATGGGAAACAGTCACATAACTATAACTTCTTGGGTGAATTATGTACATTATTGTCACTTTTCCATATTATAATTTTTAAATTTCTTTAAATGTTAAAATGGTCATTTTCGGTATATTGAAACCTAATTTTGTCCCTTTTGTCAAGTTTTATTCATATAATTTAATCATAAATCACAAATTTCCCTTACGGGCCCTCCCTGACAGGTATGGCACCCCAAAGTGGCCAAAAATCAGTTATGGCAGGTCTAATAGCTCAGTTTGAGTTAGGCTAAGTTTCATTAAAGGGTTTTTATTTCTCAAAATACCTCTTTCAAAATTCTGTTGTTATTTCATAATGCCAATATTCCCAGTGATACTGTCACTTTTTATTTCCTATTATTATCCTAGCCCCAGTGCACTGTTTATTTTGAGGAGAGTTGGTTTACTGAGCATAACATTAGCATTGTTGCTCTAGCTAACAGGAGCTAACTAGCTAAATCTGGTAGCAGTTGTTGAGCTTTCCTGTTGGCGGTGGGGTTTCTGTGAAGTGCTGTAAAGTTTATTGAAAACACACCCAAAACACACATTAAACATGGCTTAACATCAACAGTTTCAAACACAAGTACACAAATCAACTTCACTATAACTCGCAGCATTCACAGAAAAAGATTTTCTACACAAATACAACATGCTAGCGTTTTTAGCACAAGCCTATGGCATTTTACATTGTATAAATTAGCCTAGCAGCTAGCGGACATTTCCTCAACTTACATGAAGCCAGTGAAACGGGTGTGTTTGTGGACCCAAATGCAGTACCAGGCTCGCAGGAACAGTTGGTAATGACTTTTATTAGCACCACAGCAAACAGGGAATGCAGCAGGCAGAATAAACACAGAATAAAGTTCGTTCTTCGGGCAAGTTGCCCTCACACAGTCTCTGAGGCTCAGATGAGGGAAAGAGATCAAGCTTACGGCAGCCAAAGGTGGCGAGGCAGACGCACCGTAGGCTGAAGTGCCGGCTGATCGTGCTGAGAAGCCGACGAGGAGTGAGCTGAGGCGAGGTCGGGAGCCGGTGGGGGGGTCGTAGCTAGAAGAGCCGTCAGCGAAGGCAGAAGCACCGTTGAGGAGCAGGCAGGAGGGTAGACGAGGCCGGGCGGAGGAGTCGAGACCAGACGAGCAGGCAGAAACCAGAGACGCTGAAGCAAAGCACGAGGTCGGGGACAGAAGGCAGGTGAGTTTACCGGGAGGCAGACGAGGGGAGCAGGTCGGGGACAGGCAGAGTTGGCACCGGGAGATCAGGCAGGAGAAGAACGCTGGAGAGTCTCGCATAATGCTAAAGAACAATCTGGCAGTGAGTGAAGGTGCTGGAGAGGCTTATATGCAGGGCTGGTTGATGAGCTGCAGCTGTGTAGGCAGGTGAGCAGAGTTGGGCTGATGAGGTGGGCGCGGCTGGCAGGTAGAGTGAAGCAGAGGGAGGGGGAGTGGAAAAACACTGCAGCAGAGTGGCAGGAGAGGACTGAGAGACAGGGATTGTGACAGAACCCCCCCCTCAAGGGACGGCTCCTGACGTCCCAAACAGTTCCAGAGGAGCCGGGTGGGTGGCGGGGGCCTGGAGGAGGGCTAAAATTCCTCAGAGGCCTCTGTCCCAGTCTCTTCATCCTCCGAGGCCGGTCCCGCATCCTCCTCCTCAGACCCAGATGCCTCAGATGCAGGAGGAGACCGAAGGTCAGTGTTGGGGCCCCCTTGTGCCGAGGTGATGTTGGAGGGCTGGTCAGGGTGTTGGCGATGGAACTCCCTGATGAGCCGTGCATCCAGGATCTGACGGGCCGGAACCCATGACCGCTCCTCCGGACCGTACCCCTCCCAGTCGACGAGGTACTGCAGGCCCCTTCCCCGGCGACGAGAGCGGAGCAAGCGGTGCACCGTGTAAGCAGGGTCCCCATCGATGATGCGAGGCGGTGGGGGTGGCCGGGAGGCGGGCTGCAGGTGGCTCTCCCGACACGGCTTTAGCTTGGAGACATGGAAGGTGGGATGAATCCGCATGGAACGGGGCAACTTGAGTCGAACAGCCACTGGGTTTATCACCCTCTCGATGGGGAAAGGACCGATGAATTTGGGGCCCAACTTCCTCGACTCCACCCTCAAAGGCAGGTCCCGGGTAGAAAGCCACACCTTCTGTCCCACCTGATAAGGGGGGGCCTGGGAGCGGTGACGGTTGGCGGCTGTCGAGTATCTGTCGGCGGCCCGTAGAAGTGCAGCCCTGGCCTGTGTCCAGGTCCGGCGGCAGCGGCGGATGAAGGCCTCCACTGAGGGACAGACGGTCTCTTTCTCTTGAGCAGAAAACAGGGGAGGCTGAAAGCCGTAAGCGCACTGGAAAGGGGAGAGTCCAGTAGCGGAGCTGATGAGGGTGTTGTGGGCGTACTCCACCCACAGCAGTTGCGAGGACCAGGAGGCAGGGTGCCTGGAGACCATGCAGCGGAGCGCCGTTTCCATTTCTTGATTCATCCTTTCTGACTGACCATTAGACTGGGGATGAAATCCAGACGTCAGGCTGGTGGAGGCCCCCAGGAGACGGCAGAATTCCCTCCAGAAGGTAGAGGTGAACTGGGGGCCTCGATCGGAGACCACATCAGACGGGAGGCCGTGAATCCGGAACACGTGTTGCAGAATCAGTTCAGCAGTCTCTTTGGCCGATGGAAGCTTGGGCAGGGGCACGAAATGAGCCATTTTACTGAAGCGGTCCACAATAGTCAAAATGGCGGTGTGGCCCCCTGACAGCGGCAGTCCAGTGACAAAGTCCAAAGAGATGTGGGACCAGGGGCGGTGAGGCACAGGCAGGGGTTGCAGGTGGCCGGCAGGGGCCTGCCGAGGGGCCTTGTTCTGGTTGCAGATTGGGCAAGCGTTAACAAAGTCTCTGGTGTCCTCATCCAAAGTAGCCCACCAGAACCGCCGTTGTAGGACCTCCTTGGTACGGAGGATCCCCGGATGGCAGGTGAGCCGGGAGTCGTGGGCCCACTGCAGAACCTCCGTCCTTAACTCCTGCGGGACGAATAGGCGGTCTTGGGGGCAGGAGCTGGGCCCGGGCTGGTCCTCCAAAGCAGCTCTAACTCGCTCCTCCACCCCCCAGGTGAGAGCGGCCATCAGACGAGAAGTGGGGAGGATGTTGTCAGGGCTGGGGGAGTCCTCTTCCCCGACCATGAACTGACGGGACAGGGCGTCAGGTTTGACGTTGCGGGAGCCTGGACGGTAGGAGAGAGTGAAGTTGAATCTGGCGAAGAAGAGGGCCCACCGGGCTTGACGAGAGTTCAGCCTCTTGGCCGAGCGGATGTACTCCAGATTCTTGTGGTCAGTCCAGACGAGAAAGGGGGTCTTGGTTCCCTCCAACCAATGGCGCCACTCCTCCAGTGCCAGCTTCACCGCCAACAGTTCTCGATTCCCGATGTCGTAATTTCTTTCAGCTGGGGACAGACGCCGGGAGAAAAAGGCGCAGGGGTGAAGCTTCTGGTCCCTGGCAGCACGTTGGGAGAGGACGGCCCCCACCCCCACATCCGAAGCGTCGACTTCTACGACGAACTGTCTCTCGGGGTCAGGGATCAGGAGAATGGGGGCTGAGGTGAACCGCCCCTTCAGGTGCAGGAACGCCTCCTCGGCGGCCGAGGTCCACCTGAAAGGGACCTTGGAGGAGGTGAGGGCGGTGAGAGGTGCTGCCACCGTGCTGTAGCCCCGGATGAACCTCCTATAGAAGTTGGCGAACCCCAGGAATCGTTGCAGCTGTTTGCGGGAATCAGGGACGGGCCAGGAGGTGACAGCTGATACCTTGACGGGGTCCATCTCCATGCGGTCCCGGCCTATGATGTACCCCAGGAAGGAGACAGAGGGGGCGTGGAACTCGCACTTCTCCGCCTTGACGAACAGTGAGTTCTCCAGTAGTCGCTGCAACACTGTCTGGACGTGATGAATGTGTTCTTGCTTGGAGCGGGAGAAGATGAGAATATCGTCTAGGTAGACGAACACGAACTTATTGAGCATGTCTCGGAGCACATCATTGATGAGGGCTTGGAACACAGCAGGGGCATTGGTGAGGCCGAAAGGCATCACCAGGTACTCGTAA